GTAGCATATAAAAAGTGACGTAGTTCGGTAATTTAGTGCAGTTGAAGTTAGAGAAGACAAGAAACGTTTAGGATAATCGTGAGTTATACCATTAATTGATGGTTTGGTTGGTTGAGGCAGTAGTTCTGCCTGTATTTTGTTATTCATTTGAGAGTTTTTGCTAAAATTGTTGTTAAATTTATAATATACTCGTATTTTCCCCTAATTTATTTTGTTTGGACTTCAATTATAATTATTGGTAGTTCAATTTAATATTAAAAAAATTTTATTTTTTTGACCACCAATGCTACTAAACTATGTTGACTATGCACATACTTTATGGTTTGTTGGTTATCTTATATTAATCATTTTTAATGAATTCTTAAATTCATACAGAATATCGATCATCATACCATAACAACGATAGCACTTTACCGAGTTGTAATTTAAGTAGAATAAGGAATTAATTGCGTCATTGTCGCTTTTTCAGTCCATTATTAACTGGTTCAAGACTGTAGTAGCAGTATTCTATATAATGCGAGGACCGTAACAAAACCTGTTCTACTAACCGTAATAAGAGTGTAAGTTACACAATTAATTTTATAATAGCAGATTTTATTACTGATTCTCTCTCGACTGAGATACTACGTAATAGCACAAAAAGCTCCGACAGGCAAGGAAAATTTCCTACAACAGCAGATCTTAGAAAAGGACTAAGAATAACAATGACAGAAAAGCATAGCTGCTTAAATGAGTTATCTAACTCATTTATAAGATAAGAATTGCGCAAAAATAACTCAACCCTTACGTAACATAGTATGAGAATAAAATTTTATGATAAATATCATATCCTACGTAGCTGAAATCAACATACTTGAATTATCATTAACATTACTTCTATGGACCTATTATTGTCAACAGACCTAGATTTTGGTATTATTTTTAAGTTATAACTAATTCACTTCCATATAACATGTTGACTGCAGCAGCTTATCTAACAGCTTCACTGCAGGACAAAGTCTGCTGGCAATATATTATGGCAAGTTATTCATTAGAAATATTTTAAAAAGTAATAGGTTAATTTGCTTTATATTATTAGGTACGTTAGTTGCTTATCGTTAGCCCCAATCACGAAACAAGAGTAACTAACTAAACATTGCGTTTATTAAAAAAATTTTAATTAAAGTTATTATGATAGTGAAGCAATTTTCTGAGGTACAGGTCCTTGAAGACTTTATTCTAGTACTGGTTAAGCACTGCTCAATTAAGAACGGCAATTTTAAAAATTGGTTATGACATTTTTCGACTCTAAATTCGCTTCAATTTAAGCCGGCGTGATCTGACATTGATATTACGAAAAATGCTGTACAAGTCACAGGGATGCAGACCAGTCATTTATCGAAAACGCACAGCGACAATTAATAAATGCCATAATAACTAGCTTACAGTACAAAACTGTTAGTTAATTGAGTGACGGTCAGATCTGGTATTTCGGTATTAATTGTACTATCTATTAATTAAAGCCATAGTAACATACTATACTAACGAGTAGCAATATAGATTTAAGTAAATATAGGTATAGTCAGGATTATTAATTATTTTAATTCATGATATTTCCAACTATTGACCACAAATAACAAAGCATCAATCGTCGTTGCGTACAGAGATAGAATTTGGAATTGAAATTAGTTTAAAAAATATTTATATGAGTAAATATGTTTATTCACAGATAATGATGCTTATCGATATCAATAGAAAATTCATGGTATACTAAGCCATTACCATAGTTCTCCAATATAATTTATACTTTTCGAGTATTATTTGATGATAAAGAAAGGTTTTATTTATGTATGATCTTGTAACTTACTAGAATAAGTAATTCGCTTGTTGCATGATGTTTACTGCAAAGGGTATGAAGTAAATAATAGCTGCGCTATACAAAAGTTTAAGTATTATTTTGATTTTTAGCATATTTTTTTCAAGGTATCACGTCATTAGCAGGTACTAACAATGATTTTCGGTATTTAATGTAAATGTCTGCAATACATTAAATGGAAATCATTTAATTACATTATTCCAACATATTGCTGACGTCATGATAAGCATAAAGTAAACATAATTCTTTACGATTCATAACAATAATTTTTATAAGAATAGCATTTCAACAAATTAGGTTGATTTATCATATCATACTTTTAACTACAGATAAATAGAACTTATTGATGGCGCATTTCAGTCGGGGAAAGCATCTAAAGACTACCTCATTTGAAGCAAGATAAGTTTTGAAATCGAATTTAGAAATAGAATACTCGCTTCTCTTTCAATTTCCTAACATTATTGGCCTCATCCTTGCTATTCTCATCACCATTTGCACCAATTGAAATGCTCATTTTGGCAGGATACCAAATTATTATGTTATATCCTTAATTTTTCGGAAAATAATAAAATCTACCGTAGGTATTTAATTAGTATATCAACTCTTAATAACAAGTTTACCTACGTAAATCAAAATTGAAATTAATACAATAGGAAAACTTTGATTCCTTACTCTGCTGATGGTATTAATAAACTAATTCGACTGTGCGACGTCAAGTTTACAGTATCTATCATAATTATCATTAATCGAATAATTGCTAGACTTGTTTTAATTGTAAGCAAATATTAATATATTATTAAATGGAGTTTTCCTGTTGATTAAACTTAAATCTTTCAGATTTGATACAGTTAATAGATAATAAAAGAATGATATGAGGATATAAAATCGCATACAATTGCAAATACACGTATTCTAGATTATGATATTTTCTATAGATAATACGCGTATTATGAAGCAATTTATCAAAAATCCTAGTAATTGTGTAATTTTTTTCTTGTACAATGTACAGTATAGTCATCATAATAAATATCCTGATTTTCTTCTGAATTGGTATCTATCGAATTAATCACGTGGATAGTTGCTGGTTGACAGCAGCATGGCAATTTTTGTCTAATATTTTGCTTCCTATTATTTACGTTCCGTATAAAATAATACTTCGCAGAAATAGAATCAAAACGAAAATGATCAATAAAGTAAGAGATTTCCTACTCTGCTACCTATATGCTGTATTATTAAAGCTAGAATAATATGTGTAGAACAGCCTAGTTTGCAAGGATTGTTATATATTCTGGCTACAACTGTAGATAATATTAGATCAATATATATTATATACCTTTTATGTTAACAATTTTATTACTAGCTGTCACTATTACTAGCATGTAGTCTCGACGAAGAGAGTATTGGTTACTCTTTGAAGTCCATGAAAAGGTGAAGGTGATAAATTTTGTTAATTTTGTTGTCTAACTGATTTTTGGCGCGAGGTATACCACATTCATTATTATGAAATTATCGAAGTAAAAATTGAAAATCTGGTTATAGATCAGTATAATAATAATAACTTAAAATTCCACACTTTTAATTATTAAAACTTTAATTAACTTGCTAGGAAGTATAAGATCGAATAAATAATTTGGTTGGTTGTCTACCCTTTATTTATTGTAATCATTTAACCTCTTTTCATCGAGCATGAGCTTTTATCTATTATTTTTCTTCATTATAAAAATTAAGGTAAACACCAATCTGATGAGTCTAAATAACTTAAAAGTCACCTCAGAAATGAATTACCACATTATCTTGGAATAGGTTATAAAACTCATTTCCGAAATGATGCAATGAAAGATGCAAAGAAAGTTGTGAAGTTTAGTATGACTATAGACAGTATACTGCTATTGATGGCATTACCATTATATGATGAGGAAATTACACGTACATATGTATTAAAATCTTCTGATTTCTCTCCACTGATATTGCAGAAGTATTCGATAATATCGATTATATTATTATTATTATATCATCAGTTATCAATGTAGATATTGAATATTATGTCCGTTATATCGTAACTAAAGAAAATTAGGTACTGAAAAATGAATATAGACATAAAAAATTTGATTGCTAATTTTCGTTAGTTCGAAGGCGGACAAGATATCGGGCGTTTACAAATTCGCCGATAGACAGTTCCAGACTGGAATAAAGATGTTTTTAAAGTCCATTTTTAAGAATATGATCAGACTATAGGTATTGCAAAATACGTGACAGAAATAATAAATACATTTTGTATTCGGTACCAACAGAGAGAAAATAAAAATTTACACCGTTATAAGAATTAGTGTTCCGCATGCTTGATTTTCATAAATGGAATGCTAAAGATAATCACGATGTGATTAATATCAAAACCCGATGGGTTGTACCAACAAACCTTTAAACAACAATAACCGTTTAGCATCCTTTCTTTCCTGATGATTTAAGAGGTTATTAGTTATTAACATAATTGCCAGGTGTTCGATTGTAAATTTAGAATAGCTTAGTGATGAGTGCAGTCGATTATGTCAAACTTAGACTTGAAGTTAAATCTAAAAATAAAATATTTCAAACCTAATACCTTTCAAATGTAGCTAAATGTCAATAGAAGATTGGGATATTAAATTTAATTCAATACAATATCCTTTATTATACTGTATTTTAAAACAACAGTACCGAGTTTTGTGTCGATTCTTTGAGCCAGGTGATATTATACCGGTGTTATCCTTGCTAATTATATTCATATCAGACTTTTTTTCCTCCATAATTTCATTTAATACATCCACTTTGCAATTAAAAATCATATAAAGGATATTGTTCTCTACGTTATCATTTTGTAAAAACAGTCATACCGGAAGTTATAAGACTATATAGATATACACGCATGCAGGTATTGGGTGCCATTTATCATAGCCTTAAATATATCCAAAGGAAGCTAAGTTTAGCCGATCTGTCGAAAATGAATAGTATTCTTATAATATGGTTCTTGTTTTATATTATTGTCCAACTGCTTTCGCTAAAATCCGAATGTCTTGCAAACACGACTATTCTGCACCTTGGGCTACTTCATCCACTTTCTAACGGATTTGCAAGTAAAGCGTCTCAAGCGTACTTGCAATCTTTTAGAATGGCCTTAAGAGATATTAACAATCGATCAGATATTTTACCAGGTTACAAACTCGATGTGATCATTAAAGATACAAAGGTGCATACTTATTAGTCTTTTAAACGTTGACTCAAAATTTTAATTAAAACTGTATCCAATTATTTTTATACTAATGTAGCCATTAAGATATACATAAAGTAAATCAAATCCTTAATGTACAAGTTGCTTTCGAAGAGAAAGATCGTTTTTTACATAATAATCTTAAAAATTGATCTAATGCAGTAATTTAGTACTAAAGTAAATACTGTAAATAGGGCAACCCCTAGATGGAGTACGTTCTGACAGGTTTGATAGTAACTCCAGGTTACTGCAATGGTTATGGATAAATTATGATGTGTTACTGTAGCATGGCAAGATATACCATAATCTGATCAAATTCTAACCAAATTGATGCTTAAAAAGCGGGTATTACATATTAATTATTTTGATTATATTATATAATTCCAATTAAGCTATATCTCTTAGATAGACGTTCTATCAATCGGCTTGCTATGTAATATAAGTATCATTATGGGCTGTATTAACTTTTCCATATATTTTACAGCATAATTCATTTCATGCTGTTAAAGAATTTTTCGATTTGGTTAGTAAACCACCTAAGAAATACTTGATCTATGGGCCAATACAATCAGCTAATTGCGAAGCGGTAGCTCCTATAACTAAATATTGGAATCTAATAACGGTAAACTATATTAGATAGAGTAATTTTTTTATTTATCGTCGTTTATTTGGTCTACTATTTTATAATCCAACCTACAATTAAGACCATCGGATATAGAATATACACTTAGATGGATACAATTGGCAATCAAACGATCTTGCAGTTAAAAATCCTTTCTTTTCTGAGTCGCTCATTCCCATTAGTAGACTAAAATTATCAAGCTAATGAGTCTAAAATACGACAGTTAATTAAGTACCGGTACCGTATCATATCAAAATAAAATGGTTTGTTCCAGTTTCGATTTCTAAGGTATTTTACAGCAGTGCATATTACTTGCTGTTATTCTTAAAATTAGCAAAATTGTATAACCCAATACTCCTTAATATTTAATGCTACGATGGGAATAAGCTTTATGTGATAAGTCAAACTACAGCACCATTTTTTATCTACTAATTTTAATTTTCTCTTCCTATTTGTCTCTGTTGATAACTCTTTTAAAGTGCTTTGCTTAAGTGAAGGTGCTCAAGGAGTTATTTTCTGTTACTGAAATCTTCTCACGCAATACCTATGCATTTCGTGTAATAATTATACTATTTTAAGCGTTGAAAATAAATCAGGATATCGCTCTTCAATTCAAATTTATCAGAGCTAATATGACCACAGTCCACTTGTTTAAAGATTATTGTTAGTAAAAGTAATAGTAATTTCTTTTGCAGTAATTGAATCTCATAATCAGCTTTTGTTATTTCTCATTATGCGCGTATGGACTGTTACTACTTTGCGGTATGAACTGGGCTAGGCTATATTATTCTTCAGGGATATATATAAACTGGACTAGGCAGATATAGTCGGGGCTAGGCTAGAATAGACTCTGGGGTGTAAATTGAACTAGTCTACTATACTTGGGTATACTTTGAAGGGGGTATGCTTTGGCCTGTTACACCGGCACTCACCAAATCTGGTGCCGTTGTTACGGTCAATCCTTTGACCGTAACATCATAGCGGTGACCTTCGATATCAGATTAATCTTCCAGCCTACATGCTTTATTGCAGCTCTTTCTAGATCACATGTAACTAATTTAATGCTGTTATTCACGGATGAAAGTTTACACTTAGTCCTAATATCGAATACAGATAGACACATAGATCCGTTTAAGTAGTAAAAAGAGATAGAGTAATGGTCATTACAACGATCGAGGAATGGTACAAAACAGCTTCAAGCATCATTTTAACAAAGCTTTTAAGTAGCCATTAACTTAATTAATCTTTAAATTCTACTAAGCAATAGTAAATCATTACTTCATCGAGCTTTTATAGTTTATGATCTTATAGTACTGTGTGTTTGTGTGCAATGCACAAATACGAGAATAGCTTGAAGCATTTTTAATATCTTACTCGCCGCAAACAAATGAACAGTCCATAATAAAACTTTAACTAAAGTTTGCTTAGATCCTTACTTAAATTTATAACTTACTGATTTTAAGTTACAATGATGTATTAGTAAGTAATTTGATCAATACATATATGCATTATTAGGAGTAAGCCTTAATCCCATTTTTTCCAATACAAGAGTTTCATTGTTTGCCCTTTTAACTAGTGCTAATTGATTATATTCTACACCATAACAGTTCTAACTTAACTATTTCGTATATGCTTGTTAGAGAAATTTGGAATAGAATTAAAATAAGAATACTGGGTCTATTTAATTAATAACCATACAACATTCATTTTACTGCTGATGCTGGAATTTTGATACTCTTTAATATGTAGTAAATAACACGTATTTACTATCCTTTGATTTCAATATTTTTACTGCTACTTTTGATTTTAAATTTTTGGTAATGGTTGATATTTAGTGTCCTAGCGAAGGATCGATCATTGTATAAAATGCCTAGAGAATTCCAGGCACTTTACAAAGCGCCTGATTTACTAATTACCGTTGATATCAATGTGCATTAAATCAAAATATTAGTCTATATAATATAATGCGACAACTTTCGCGTGGCAGTGTTATATACTGTATTAGAGTAGAAATATCTATGTTAGGATAATACTGTTAGCCTATCCTTATTTAGCTAACTTCTAATTTGGATATACTGTGTTTTAATATAGCACTGACTTTTTATGACAGAGACACATATACACATACTGAAATTAATGGTTATAATAGGGAATGCAAATCATCTACTTACAGTTCGAATCATTGTGATTGTAACTTACTTATAGTAGATTGTAAATTATCGTGGAAGTGTTCCATGATAGGACATATCGTAGTTTGACTATTCTGTATTAGTCATCAGATGTCTATGTTCGTAGATACTGTTGTCTGCATTAAGGGAGCAGTTGCTAAAATTAATATCTAGTTCAGTAAATGATTCCAAAGTTAATCGCACTAACTATGACTCATGAACTATTAAGGAAGAGTATATAAATGCAGAATATCGTGTAATAAAATCGATTCTTAAAAAAACTTAGTGTTTAATATAAAGTACGAGGCGTCTAAGTCTTTGTGTAGTCTACTAGTAGGGCAAAAGTATTTCTGATAGTGCAGATATCGTTCCTTGATACGTGGTTCAAGGAATTGACTTATTGATCGTACATTACGTTATCTTGTTGCAAAGCTGTTTTGTGACATTTCGTTATCGTATTTTAGAGAAAGGCTATTTCAATATTAGAAGCTTATAGTTTGATGACTATTTTCTGTATATACTTTATGCGTAGGCATGTTACTATTGCTGTTGTCACGCAGCTAATACTTCCAATTGTAATAATTTCTATTACTGCTTACGGTAATTGCAACATTTTTCGGTAGACTAGACGATGAACTCAAACTTTCTTGAATACTATAGTGATATTAATTCATCAGGCCACGTAAATATCAATTAAAGTTGAGTAAAAAACATAAAATATGCGTAATGTACACGCATAAGACATACAGGTTTATACAGATATTATAAGACTCTATATTATAGTATCTTACTTGCGTATAGATGATTAAATTAAGATGTAGACAGTATGCCAAGTTAAATTACCTAAATAGAGGCAATTTATTATGGCACAACATAAAATTTATACTTCAAAATTTTGACATTAAAACTATGCCAGCGATCTATTTCAAAGGATGTCAATATTTTAAAATTGATATACTTTATGTCATATAATGTAATTTGTTTATTAAATTACTGAATGAGAAAATACTACTTCAATCGGTGATATCTTGCTTTAAAATTTTACCAAGAACCAAAGTTAAATATTTGTTTTTAATGCTAAGAATGTAATTAACCCGACAAAGAGTAATGGTTTAGAAATAGTTTTTCATATTTCAAACCGTATCAATCATAATTACTAATCATAACTAATACTACTATAGATAGAAAACTGAAAAATTTCAAATGGAACCTCATCTAATAGCGTTAAAATTTTATACGAGAGTCTATAGCAAAAATTAGGTATAGAACAATATTTTTGCTCATATACTATAGTAAACCTAGAAAGAATGAACCCGTAACAGAATCTGAAATATTTTCATGTTACTCTTTATTTCTTATAAGAATTAATCAAGCTATATCTACAAAACAATTGTAAAATAGTGGCTACTACATTGCATATTGAAATATTTCAGTTCTTTTATATCCTTTGTAATATCAATTTTAATCACCGGAGCTCAGTTTTTTTCCTTAATAATATTATGCTTTAGTTTTCTCCCTCTGCAACCTCCATGAAACTAGCTAACAAGAAGACCTATTCCAATTTTTTTCGAACTTCCATATCGGATTTCAGTTATAATCCGGCAAGAATTGCGGTTATGAAACATTTTAATTGGACACGAATTGGCTTAATAAGTCAAGTAACTGACTTATTTACTTACGTACGTAATTGTTTCATGAAAGTATTTATTCTTAGTTACGAGATGAAAAATTTTACAGAGGATGAGAATAATATTATTGTTGAAGCTAAATGTTTACATAGTTTCTATATTATCCTTATTTGTAAGCTACTCACGCAAATCGTTTAATTATAGTAACTAAAAGTATGGATTGCTACTATTTTTCTAGCAGCCGTATTAAAGGAATCTTATCTATTGCTTGCTGTAATAAATATATATTCTTTTAATTTTATCACATTAGAATAGTTTGCCTCATTGCATGTATACTATAGATATAAGAATACATATTTAGATAACTATCACTTCCCAACAAGTAAATTTGCTGCATATCTATCGATCTCATTAAATACAACAATGGGGTACATATTAGATAACCTTAATCTCCTATTAAGCAAAATTATTATATATCTATCGCTATAACTTCAGTAACAAATACTTCTTAACAAACCATGACTAGTTACCCATATACAATAGCCACCAATATTATAGGATGATGTAAAACAAATTATATAGTGACATTTAATTAACAATTTTAGGCAGCAAAAGATTTAGAAAAACTTGCCTCAAGGGAGGATATTCAGGTTGTATCGAGTGAGAGCTTTACCGATGATCCTACTTTTACAATCTCTCAATTGAAGGTAATAAATACTATTTCTACGATCTTAATTACTAATTACAGTATTTATAATCGTTCTTAATTCGCTTAAATTGAAGTTCAATGCGCACAATTTATAATTTCTCATTGTTTATTCTTTCGCACTTGTAGTTAAATAATATTGAAATTATTCTGGAATTATACTAATGGTTCAAATTGCTAATAAAATAAGATCGAATGAAATTATTTAATATTACAAACATCGAATGATCTAACATTTTCTAGGAAAAAGATGTACGTATTATTGTTCTGAATGCCTATCCTGCACAAATATTGCAAGTGCTATGCTCGGTAAATTTAGAACTTATTTCGTAATATTGTGTTAGTCTAACGTATACATAAACTAACCTGTAGGATTTTTAAGTTTGGTGTAATTGAAGTAGTAATCAAGCTCTCGAGTGACCTTTTCGATATGAAATTTAGGCATATCTTTATAAGTTGTATGGAGCACAATATGTTTGGTTCCTACCGGGTTGGTTTTTCGAGAATTGGATTTTTGATAATTATCGCCCTAAAACATTCAACTACAACTGCACTATGGCTCAACTCTTAGAAGTAGCAGATTACTATATTGCTTTCAAAGGTGTTACCTTACCACGATTATCAGAACCAAGACTAGCAGGCTACGTAAGAATGTCGATATGCTTATAAGCGATACTTCTCACTTTAATATCTAAAAATTAAAAGCGTCATGACTGTATCTTATACTTTCATTTAATTTCTCAGCCCATAAATCATTATTTAAGTATAGCTAAAATATTTTATTTTCTACTAATCTTAGACGGCTGAAGGATTTAATAAGGAATATATTAACTTCGGTGACAAGATCCATTTAAGTGGTAGTTATACCTACGCTTATGATGCAGCTTGGACTATAGCATTAGCATTGAATCGAACACGGGAGATTTTGCAAAGAAATTACTCTCGCTCACTTGATGATTTTAACTATAATGATTCAACTACCATGAACATCCTTCAGAGAGCTATCAATGATGTACAATTTATTGGTGTTAGCGTTAGTAAAAACGATTTTACCCAATTAATTCTCCTTAATCAGTAAATTTTGTTAACTGTTAACAATACGGACTTTTTACATTCTATTTAACCTTATCAATTTAGGGTAAGATTGTATTCCAGGATGGAAATCGATTGGGTAATGTAAGAATTATGCAATATCAACGTAAGTTAGGAAAATTTATTCATAAACCATATATATTGCAATTTCAGTAAGCTAAAATTGACTAGATATTACTAACGTTTTAAAGGGGATTAATCCTTATGGCATGATGAAATATATTTAGTTTACGATTGAATTCGATCTATACCGATATGATATTAACGTATTTTGAAATTCGTTTGAAAATTTTATGATTATAAATTCCATCGATACACTTTAATAAACGATTATATCCACGCTAGTATCTTTTATGTAGTACTTGCTAACTCTGTAGAACAAGTTTATGATTATATGTTCGTGCCGTTTGTGATTCTTATCTCATTTCAAAATTTTTTTGCCATACATAATCATATTCACTTAGGAAAGGTTTACATCAACTATACGGTAACAGTTGGATTTTACGACGTTTTTGAGAAGAAATTATTTTTCAGCAACTACAAAAATAAGATCACTTTCAAAGGTATATGCATTATACACATATTGAGATCATTGAAATTCTATCATATTTCATAGGTAAAGTTCTAATGGTAGCAGTAACTGGAGCAATTTAGCAATAGTTTGAATACGTTAATAACAATAAGCCGTACAGATCAATATTTCTTACTAATATCTGCAACTTGATACGATTATGAACGACAGGAAATTATACGCCAGTTGATCATGCTAAGAGGATAATACGAAGATTGAGTGTTGGGAAAGAGATATTTGCTATCTTTGCGACATTATCTTCCCTTGGTACTCTGTTAAGCCTTTTCATGATTACTTTCAACGTTACATACCGTTCAGTAAGGTATGAATTACGAATTGCATCATGACTAGTACATAGAGTATGTTGCTATGCGTTTATAAAATGCTGCATTTACTGTACCTTGTATTATTTTACCATAAACATCAACTAAGTATGTGGGTAATACATAATAAGACGTCCATGTTCTAATCTCCTTTACTATTCTCTTTGCAGGCAAGTTAAGATCACAAGTCCACGGGTTAATGTTATGCTTCTATTGGGATGTGTACTATGCTACTTATCTGTTATACTGTTGGGTTTGGATTGGAATCTGATATCCTCCAAAACTTTTATTGCTTCTTGCACTGCAGCCGTATGGTTATTGTCGATTGGTTTTACTTTGGGTTTCGGTTCATTATTTTGGAAAACCTGGAGAGTTTATGCAATATACAAAAGCAAAAGTCCTAAACGAAAGGTTACCTCTTAGATTACTCGATATTCCTATTACAATTTGCAGGCTTCCTAACTACTTTAAATAACTACTGTTTTGCTACAAGACGTGTAACGGATATGTCTACTGCAATACCATCAGTTACTTAAGCAGATTATATTCAAGAATATCATTACATGTTTAGATTATCCGCGATATTCACATCTTACCAAGACTTGCTGTACTCCTGGTAATCGATATTATTATTTTATCCTTGTGGCAAATTATTGATCCAATGCGAACTATCGAAAATTCAATTCTGTCCAAGGTAATGCTTACTTCTTTTTAATGATTCTTATAACGAATCTTTATTTATAACGGCTGTTAGCTAAAGCCCTATGCATTAAATACGTATTCAATTAATCGGATTAAAAGTAAACCTGTTAGCTTGATAAGTGTTCGTATAACTTAAAATGCTGTCAAATCAATAATATTAAGATTATGAAACTAAATGTACAAAGATTCTTAAGCACTCAATTCTCCGATAAACACCGGACATAGGAGTCTTTATTTCATTTAGTTTTTGCTACCCTTTTTGCGGTGTAATGATGCTGTAAATACTTTCAACTGAGTTTGAGCCACCATATGACAATTTGCTAAATTTAATTCATGGCGTATATTGTTGCTTGCACATAAAATCTATACGTTAGCATCATCGGACTTCTAATGGTAAATATCCAGATCGTAGAACTGCTTAAAATTTATAGTGCCTTAATGGAGTCTTATATTCTTATATGAGACTCATTTTAGATTAATCATCAATGTAAAGGTTTCAAAATTGGAAAATCAACGTCTTTATACCAATATTTATACTAATTCATTAGAAATTTTAAAGAGCAACTCGCAATTATAAAACTAAGTTCTTTCTATCTAATATTTTATTCCTAGCATACTTCGTCAATAGGGGATTATGAGATTACATCTATCACGATGGTTTGCCAATCCGTAAATATGCCAATTTGGTTAGGTGTTATATATGGCTATAAATTTGTGCTGATGATCTTTGGTGCATTTTTGGCTTGGGAAACACGTCATGTTAATATCCAAGAAATAAATGACTCTAAATTGATTGGTTTATCTATATATAATGTTGCCTTGCTATGCACTGTTGGTGTAATTCTATATCAATTTACAACAGCCGAACCTAGCACTAGTTACTCCATCGTGTCATCCTTCATCATTTTCTGCAATACCGTAACCATCTGTATAATCTTTATCCCAATGGTAAATATTTGTAACAGCTTAAAAGTATTCAAAATATAGCAATTATTGCTTCAGAATTTATCGAAAATTTGTTCTCTACGCTTAATCATTAAAATATCGTTGTCAAATGGGAAGATTGTAGGCTAGCATAGCGCTGATCGTTATTTACGTACTTCTTATTTATTATGATAGCGATATAATGTCGTTCGTATATGCTCGCATTAAAATACTACATACTTAAATATTAGCTCTGTATACTCGTAATTCAATTCATTGCAGTAGTGTCTCCGATCAATAAACTTTATTAGTACATAATTATAAATCAAATTAAGTAGACTTATAATCTGTGGTAGAAATAGTTCAAATTTTATATTGGAAACATATCGTGCTGATTTTTCCTAGAACGAGCCCCAAAGTAGAGCCTGTATACACCTTTTTGTCAACGGCTGTTAAAAATTTTGATATACAGATACGGAATCATGGCATATGAGCTGTATAAATTACTATCTCGATAATGAATAACATAGATATAACTATAACGTTCATGGTTGAGTTCTGTATTTAGCTGGTTCAATTAATATAACGTGCTTCAAAATAATCAATGTTGTTCTATCTTGTATGTTGCGTTTATAGTAATGATAGTTAAATTTCTTATTTATTAGATACGAAATGTTAAAGAAGGTAGGGATGTAACCTCATTTTACGCTAATAGAACCAATAAAGTGCGGTCTAATACCAAAGAAGGAATTAATGGCACAATAAATACGGTCGATGTTACTACCTATAAGCGTGAAATTGAACAGGTAAGAATTTTAGTTTTCAGAATTAGCTCATGCAGTGATTCAATTTCCTGTTAAAGATTGCTTTTGTCTTTTACTACTTTTACCGTCACTTTTAGTATTATTTACTATTCTCGAGATTTAAGACACATAAATTAATAACCTTATTAACAATAAAAATGCAAAAATCGAAGCTATACTAGTTAAACAATTTATTTCAATACATAATTCAATTACAATATCTCTAACTTTGATATCATTGTTTTGACTACAGCAAAATGAAATTGTTTATAAACTTAAACAGTTTATACTAGCAAATAACATCAATGTTCAAGAATCCGAAGAAATTCGTAGTCTATTCTCAACTTAGCGATATAATTTAAATATGAGTAATCTCATTTCGAGTATATCTATCAATTATTTAATTTGAACAATAATCCATGATAATTCTCTAATCTGCCTCTAATATGAAATCAATTCTTTAAGACGTACTTCCATTATTATCCACTTATTTGTAGCGCAACTGCTACTAGAGTTCGTTTGAGATGATCGAAAATAGTCCAAAGCTTTTGTTATAATGTGGTGAACAGTGTAAACTATCAATGAATAGTATAATATTGCCATAAGATAGCTTAGTATCTGAATCTTGACGGCAAATAAGCAGATATCGGATCTATTTGTAGTATTACAGTGGAATATTTTTCTTTAGTATCTTACAGTAATTTGTACTTACTGGAGCTATTCTATTAAAAGTCGCAACATTACGACACATTGATATTTCTAGTTCGATTAACTCTGATTTTAATATCATTATGAAACTTGACAATTCCATTTAATTAAAATTCCTGGTATTTGCCGTATTTCACCAATTGTACCCTATGTGAATAGTACATGCAAGTATGTTATGATTGTAAGACATCTTAGAAATTCATACTCTAATAAAGATGTCGGTATAAAGAATTTGCTATGAATTCGATGTAAATGAGCATTTTAAAACTGCAGGCTCACCAATAAAGACATCTCAATCATTAAAGATAATGAAAGGCTATGGCTTTAACATTTGATTTAAATTCTAGTGCTGTATTAGAATGCTACTGAGGTACAACTACAAAATTGATTTACGATTAAAGTTATACGATTGTATGAACGTAATTCATGATGAATGCTTGATTATAAGATAGTGCAAGTACGTATTTCTAGGTTTAATTCATCAAAGATCGAATTGTAGCCTTGTTCAGAATAGGTTATATTTGGACTTTGAGATTGTGGGAAAATGGTTCTATGGTAAGACCCCGATAATTATAATCGTAAGTAAGTCGTGGAACAGCGGCGTCAAGGATACTACACTTAGGCGTGGGAATAGTCGAGTGCTGTTAGCCTATTATTATAAATGATTGCAGTAATCGATAATCATCAGCAAAACCCAAATTTTAATATAACACCAAGCATATTATTAAGGGCTTTCTAATGATACTGGAAATCATGCTACTGTATTTTAAGACCTATGGCATTACATTTATATCGTATAGGGTATGCATAGTTCGGGAGGTCGCATATGGGTATCTAAGCAAATATATCTATTAATAAACTGACGTCAATTAAGCTCAGATTGATATTCAAGATGCGCATTTATGCAATACGTACGCTGTAAACAGATATTAGAATCAAAAAGACAGCTAATTTATTTCTAATATTTAAATGTAAAAAATACCACAATGTAAATTTGAGATATGCGTGCATCAATTAGCGATAATTACTTTTAATTTGGTTTATTCATACAGTAATGCTATTTATCAAATTTATTTGGACTTTGAACCCTTTACGAGTTATGAGAGGTTATGAATTGACTGAATTATATACAATTCAAATTAGTTTGCGCACTAAATAGTGTATTGACTGCTTTCCAGCTCCATCCAGTCTATCGTATAGATATATGCTATACATCCATAATATGTAGCTCTAAGTTATAAACTAATTTTGTAGTATAATATCACGACTATTCTGGGCGATATACAGTAATATGTATTTATAACATTAGTAATATTATTTACGAAAATTGATTCTAAGTGTATATTTGTAAATCAATTATTGTAAATTTATTCTAAGATGTTATACTAGTAGTATCGTTCTAGTTTATTTTGCTAGCTCTAGTATAGTAGGTTGAAGCTACAATAGCAATTTTACAATACCAGTATCACTGATAAAGAATCGAGTAGTCCTTTATAGTTTTACGTGTTTGATAGAGCATCCATATTGTATCCATATTTTAAATAAATGAAACTTTTGAATGATAATAACAGGACGTCACGAATTCACCAAATTCTGAGCTTCAGAGCATAGAGGAATAGATATATCTTATTTTAAAAATTATCCTTAAGAATGTTTTTTACTCACTTAGTAACTATTTATAGCTCTAAATTATTTCCTGCTATAAGCTATATAGAACTGTAATAAAATAAACTGAAGACACTATTACATTTTAATAACAGATTTTCAATAGATAAATTACCTAGACATTTCAATAATGATATCAGATAGTGTTTACTAATTATTAATACGGTAGATAATCATGAAGAAAATAATTTATGAAACTTTTGAAAGGGCCATAGCTAATTTAACCCAGGTGTTTGCTTAATCACGTGGTTAGCATTAAGTAAACTTTTGAACATGATCAATTTTCCAATTTATATCATTAATCCGTTACCTCCAGATGTTATAATAATTATTGTCAAATTAGCTTTTGGATGGCAACTGATCGATCTCAATATAGATATCGCGTTCGCGATTGATTGTATCTTTGAATAAGTTATATCCGTAATAACAGTCCTAACATTGTAAAATACTGTACATTTGCCATATGCAAACTATACTATAATAGTATAAATTGCAAATATTTAGGCTTCACATTTTATATTAATATTATTGAAAGAGCATTGCAGCTAATAAATTAATACTGATCTGGTATAAGCAGTGTATACCCGTATTTTTACTATTGACCATTAATTGCTTTATTTGGTATTTTTACAGCAATGCAATATCACCTGAACGTCAAATATTAAGCTAATTGCAAGTTGTTTATTAATCTTCTCACATAGTATCAATGCCATTATTATTTTTCTATGCAGTCTAAAAATGGATAATATTTAGTAATTATATCTACTTTTGGAATAATAAAGGAAGAATGTTGCACTTTATTGTTAAGTTGTAACATAATTAAGATGAATAAAATATTAGGGTATAAATACAATAACTTCATAAATATCTAATTAGATTATTGACAATTACCTTAGAAATCATTTTTTCTCAGCGGTTGTGATATTCTTTAATATAATGTGAATTATGGACAAATATTCATAAATATTGATAAAAAATATGATTTAACTAATTATAGCCACATCATCATCGATTTATTTAAACGAGTACATAACAAACTTTGAGGTAGTTGGTCGTTCTCTAGTTTTAGTGCATTTATTCCTCTATCAGTTTGCTTTAAAATCGTAAAGGGAAACTATAGGGCTTTAAGAAATTATGTCCTTCCGCTATTTCATATTTATTTTTACTTTAAATCTAGCTTTAGCGTGTAATTGCAAAGTGCAAGACATGGAAAATAATAAAACTATCCTATACCTTGGTACTCTCCATCCTTTAAGTCAAGGATTTGCTATAAATGCCGCAAATGGCTACTTGCAAGCTGTTATGTTGGCTATCAGAGATGTTAACAACAGACAAGATATTCTAAAAGATTATAAATTAGATAACGTCGTTTTGGATACACAGGTAGGGAACATATATCTACATTTGATGCTACACCTATATTTGCATTTGGCGTTATATTACCCCTAAGAACAACAGAATAAATATCTATTTACGTTATCTGAAATATCTGAAATATTATAAACCTTGCGCAAAATACCAACTAGAACAGCATCTTTCGAGTTGGCTTATAAATTTTTTCTTCTCGAAAAGCTTCAATGAATAGCGAATAATAGAAATCCGGCTACTACTATAATTATAATTTAAAACTTTAGTACTCGATCGCATCAATAACGTTAATCTATAATGAAAAAGAACTACTGCTGTATGCTATGATAAATCACACATTATTTTTCACAAAGTACAACTAGCAGATTTTAACTATTTAGTTCAATTAATGATCGATAATCTTAGTTGTTGCTATAATATATAAAGTACTACATACTAAAATTCATGTGTCAAACTAGCATAAGAAGCGAAGCCAATTAAACACCGAATAATTGAGCTTTTTTATCGTAAAGTAGGCTAAGATTAAGTCTATTTTAGTTCCTGATTTCGCCATAAACATTGTTTTCAAACATTGTTTTCACTATTTATATTTATCGTAAATATCAAGTACAGATTTTCTATTTAAACAAACTGATCACAGTACTAGTGGGATAGAAAGTCAATTGAGCTATGTTTTACTACAAATCCTAGATTAGTGCTCACATTACATCTGTTAGTAACTTGAAAGCTTAAACGAATTCTTTATTGCTCTGTAGTTTAAATTTTTTAATTATCGTTTAAGGATTATTTATATGATTTGATAGCTTTTAATGAAAATCTGAGCATTTCCATTTTGTAGCTATTTAACAATGCCCATACAGATATGATTAATTTTTTTAAGGCAAAATTTTACTTCAATCTGAAATACTCTATGTACTTAACCTATTGCTTAGAGATATAAGCTTGGCGATCGTTCAGCGGTAGCAATTTACTCATGTCGAATGATAGAACGGTGTAAAACCACATCTTATCCATTACTGAAGAGAACCGAAAGAATGTTAATGCGCAATTTAAACATCGCTCGGCTATTCTATAGCTATCAGACAGACTAATATACGGTAGATATTAGTTTTTATTACGGTATTATTCGCGAAATGTACGGAAGGAGAGGGTGACTACATGTTAACTTACCAATCAATAACTGATTGAGAAATAGAGTCTCTGTAATGTATGGGTTTTTAACTCTAATCAACACTTACTTTATCAAGATATATTGTTCTACACTACATACTATCTTTGCGTTCCCTAACACACTTCTGTAATTAGCTGAGATCACTGCAGTCTTCACTTTATTATTATACTTATAACTTGATTTCAATTAGCCTTCATTTATACTTTATACAACACTATCAATTGCGAAATTAATATAAATTGTGAATTTAAATTTGATGTACGATAAAATTACTAAAACATTTCGTGAAGGATCGAGCTTACTAATGGATTTTGATACGTTTTTGTTTCGTTATTAATTGCAAAAAATATTATTTATTTTATTTCACTATTTAAGTGGCCAATGATATGAATTGATTGATGTAAATCATTAATTCATAATTTTATTATGCAATAGTTATTATTTTATAGTTTCCATAGAATTTTATTGCATCATTAATATGGTACTTTAATATTCATTTTAGTTTCGTTCATTTAAATTGATTGCTTTGTTTTATGTATTTCCTTAGCATAATTCAGCCTACGCTATCAAACAATTTTTTAAACTTGTAAGTAACAAACCTCAAAAAATGATCATTTATGGACCAATATTGTCTCCAAACTGTGAAGCTGTGGCAGCTATATCAAAATATTGGAATTTACTTGTGGTAAGTCATGCTAAAAGATTTGTTAAAGTTTCTTCTTCAATATTGTCGCATCGTAATATTAATTTGTTGCTAGACTTATTTTTGTGGTAGGGATTGATACCTTTAATTAAAATATATATTATTATATGATTTCATAATCATTATCAAATGATTACTTATAATTTATATTACGAACATTGCTGGAATGGTAATGTTTAAAACGCATCTCGTAATATTGTAGAATCACTATTCTTTACTACGTATTCTTTCTTTTATTTCTCTATTTGTCGGCATGTGCATAGATGTCAAGTGCCGCCGTCTCTATGAAATTAGGAGATAGGAAGTTATATCCCTACTTTTATCGAACATCAGTTTCCGCTTATAGTTTTAATCCAGCCAGGATAGCGTTGCTGAAGCATTACTCATGGAAAAAATTTGCGATCATCAACCATTCTGCTGATTTCTTTACTTATGTATGTTGCAAAGTACTGTAAAATAATGATCATTTCATACTTTGATCTTAATTATGTCGTACATTGTTTTAATAATCTAATTTAACCTAATTGGCTATTTTTCTTCAACAAAAGTTGCAATATTTATATCAGCATAATAATTATTTGATTGGTGTATTCGTAATGATGATAATTATTACTGTTACTGTAAGACCAACATGAATTGATAAGTATAATAATGGCCAAAATCATTAATATTCCATAAATTAATAGTCATTTAATATTATACGTCATATTTTATTAGACTGCTAGAGACTTAAGACAGAGAGCTAAATTAGCAAATATGGAAATTTTGGCTAGTGAAACATTCTCAAGCGAAGTTGACTTTCACCTTGCTCGAATTAAAGTAAGATTGTTGCAATGCACCGGTTATCGTGAGATGCTAGACCTACTAGCGATGTTAATTACTTTTTAATTTTAGATATTTCATAACGCTATTGTAGTATACCAGCGAGAAGAGGCATACTTGATCGCTATAAAAATTTTATTTAGACTAAAAAAACACATACGTCTATTATGAAGGCACACACAACATGTATAACTTCGCCACATATTTCTATCTTAAAGAAAAGATATTCTGTTTAACATGTCAGACTAACATTTTAAACAGATGTTCAGTGATATTTGCAGATCACTATTTTTATTACATATTGCTTAGCTCGAATAATAAATATAGAGTACGTACATTACATTAAGCCCTCAATTAAATAGTCCTGACTATTTTCTATTAGGAAAGTAAAGCAAGGATTATTATGGTGCTTGCTTATCCTTCTGATGTACTATCAGTTATTTGCTCGGTAAATATTACATTATTATGTTAACTATAAATCATTTACAATGCACAATCGCATACGAAATGTTTTGAAAATTCTATTCGACAGGCTTTTAAACAAAATTTATATGGTCCAAAATATGTTTGGTTTTTGAGTGGCTGGTTTTATAGCAATTGGATGTTTCAAAACTATGATGAAAATAAGTTAAATTGCAGTATTAACGAAATTTTGAAAGTTCTCGACGGTTACTTTGCCTTTAAAGGTGTCAATTTGCCTGACCTTAAGGAACCTCGACTTAGTGGCTATGTAAGCTATCTAGTTAAATCTTACATGATTAAATACTAAGATAAGTATACAGTATTATTCGACAAGACTACAGCTTTTTGCTTTATATTCTTCCATAGACGCCTGATCAATTCTTAACGGAATATAAGAATTTTGGAAATCGTACTCATCTGACTGGTACTTTCCCTTATGCTTACGATGCTGTTTGGTCTATAGCACTGGGTTTGAATACTACCGATCATATCTTAAAAAAGTACCATGGGCATACATTAGCAGATTTTAACTATAAAGATATATTAACGAGGTCCATCTTTCAAGAAGCTCTGAATAATGTTTCATTTATCGGCATAAGTGTATGTTCAAGATAACCATAAATTCTGTTAATCAACATTTATCAAGATTGTATATGCTTAATTTATCGAGATTGTTACTTTACGTCAGTGTTCATGAATTATTACCGCTCCTACATTGAATGCTGGTATTTGAATTGAATTAATTGTATTTTCAGACCGTACGCTAAAATAATACTTATGACATACCGGTAGCCTTTTAAATATATAGATAGAATAAATTTAGAAAGCTTATTGATTTAGAGTAACTATGCAATAATTTATAATTATTTTTAATTTTTTGTTAATGCTAATAATTTACCAACATTGGTATTGTCTTCTTAGGGTAAAATAAAATTCGTTGATGGAAATAGAATTGGCAACGTGAAGTATATGCAATATCAAAGTAAGTTTTGAGATTATATCTGCATGTTTGGCTCAATACTTTTCAGTTATGCTATTGGGATGAAATTGAAATATCAAATTATCCATATATTAACAGTATACTCAATTTCTAAGCTGATGTCTAGAGTACTTCGCGATCGTTAATTAATCGATCCTTTCTTATTAACTTATCTCACTATAAGATATTCTTTTATTGCAGGAAATAAGTATATAAATTATACTTTGCAAGTAGGATTTTACGACGTCTTTAATGATAGCGTTTCTATAAACGAAAGTTTCGTTGCCTGGAAAGGTATGTGTAAGATAATTGATCATACAGTGGTATTTTACGCTACTGAAATATTAATTTACCGTTAAATATGCAAAATTACCATAGTTTACATTGCTATATAACGATATTCCTTTAATTAACGAACACATTTTTATTTATCATGCTAAATACGATGTGGATGAGAGAAAATAATATAATATATTCGGACTTTTAATTATAGGCAAAAAAATCCCAATGGATCATGTACGAATAGTTGTTGTCAATCTTGGTATCGGCTTTGGAGTATTTATCGTATTTGCAGTCTTGTCTGGCATTGGGATCTTGTTTGCACTGAGCATTATTGCATTTAATATTTCTAAACGATCTACTAGGTCATAAATTTACCAATAGCAGTATTTTAACGGGTTACGATAGCAAGGATTGTAACTTTACTGAATTTTCGTACTGCAGTAGATTCAAATGCTTTACTATGGAACTATTGTTTTGTAGGATAGTCAAAATTACAAGTCCTAGGATTAATGTTCTCATGCTAGCTGGAAGCGTTTGCTGTTATTTAGCAATTGTACTATTTGGCTTAGATTGGAGTATCATGCGACAAGATATGGTTAAATATGCATGTACCATTGCTACTTGGCAATTAAGTATAGGGTTTACACTCGGTTTTGGGGCTTTATTCTGTAAAACCTGGAGAATTTATGCCATTTATAGGAATAAATTTTCTAAAAAAGTGGTAAGATGCTTACGAAATATAGTAGCTATATACGGTGTATAGTTAGTCCTTTGTAAGTTTAAGATTATCATTTATTTTACTCTAATATAATGGATTTCCGAACTGAGAAATCTTTGCTAATAGCTTATTCCTTATCAGTACTGGATTATAGCTTTACATTCTTAATATATGAACGGATATATAAGCAATAAGAATTGGCTAGCACTGATATGTACTGTTACTGAATCGATCATAATAATTTTAGAACATTAAAGATCGACATGTAATCTTAAGGTTGATAAGCCTTGTTATGATTGATTTAATCATCTTAACTTGCTGGCAAATAATAAATCCACTTGAGACAACAGTCCAGGATTTACCAAATAAGGTATTAAAAAAAGATCGTATTTAACATTTTATTAAGCCTTTTGTTGTAAACAAACTTTAATTAAGTCTTTATATCAATATAGAGATGACGCATAGCATGCGATAAATTATAATATGATGAGCAATTTATTATACTTACAAATGATTTTCAGGTCATCAGTATAGCGTTACAATAATACATTTATCTATAAGTTCTGAAGTAGTTTTACCTCAAGAGTTGTTGATAGAGGTTTTATCATCTCGTAAATCCTTAATATTTGATGATTATTTGATGAATAATTTAAGCAGATATTATATTAGCTCCAATAAACCCTGTTTAATTTATCAATTCAAGGCGACTGCTTTATTTTTAGTACGATAATATTGCTTGGTATTGATTAAATATTAATTAAATGCCTTTCTCACTTTATTATTAATCTGTATCACTTAGCTCAACCATAATTAAAGGTTATTTTCGCAAGAAGGATGCCGTAGTAACAATACTAATAGATACACTCACTGATTGATGCTAGTTCATATAATTTAAGTTTATAGTTAATATCATTTTATTACACTTGTTTGCTATAGATATTTTCAACAATTATGCATCATTATAGATAGCTTGGGATAGGTGCTGCTATTCTATATAGATATATTTGATTGTTTAAATTTTGTATTTCAGAGGCTTATGTCTGTAAATGGAGAGGTAGAGACCTTTTATAATATCTTAGTTTGTCGTTCAGAAAATATGTCGATTTGGCTGGGTGTCACGTATGGATATAAATTTCTGGTGATGATCTTTGGTGCATTTCTTGCCTGGGAAACACGTTATGTGCACATACAGGAGTTAAATGATTCCAAGTTAATTGCGGTTTCAATTTATAATGTTGCATTACTATCAACGGTTGGAGTTATTTTACATGAATTTACATTTGCTGAACCTCATATTGCTTACGCTCTGGTTGCATCTTTCATATTTTTTGCTACGACTATTACCACTTGCATCATTTTTATACCTACTGTGAGTATTACCGAATAGGTTAAGTAGCGTATTAATTTTTTAGAGTTGGCGATATTCATAACCTATATGCTTCCTACAGTATATAGTTTATAAAAGTCTAGTCATAGGAAAGCCCTAGAAAATAAATCATCTATCTGATTTAGCACTTCTAAACTCCTAACGTAATGTGTTTAGGAAGTGAAAGTGACCATGAATTCTCCATGCTAATCGCTAGCTAGAGGTAGTAGAATTAAAATTGATAAAATGCCACTATTTAATTTCTCTTAAGATGAAAGAATTTGTAAGAAACAGGAAAACAATATCGAGTAATACTAATAATAACAGTAATGTTGGGAATCGGCTCTGGACAAGTGGTACGAAGGGGTCTAGTAAATTGTATGCGGAATCTGAAGACATCAATCAGTTAAAAGAAGAAATCTATAGGGTCAGTTGCTATATCCTTTTTAGGAAATGCTGTACTAGCTATGTGTGCCATGTATGATTCAAAGCCAGCGTACGTTATTTTCTCAGCAAATTGATTGCAGTAGGATGTAATTGTAGTCTCCAATAAAACGTTATACGAAAGTTATAGATGGTTTACTATACACACAAGAACCCTGCAATCACAATATATCCTTGTGCAGTAGCAACTAAGCACTGACCAATTTCGTCGTTAGCTTTTTGAGTCATAGGATCGCATCACCAAATTAACTTCTTAACTTCTACCTTATATCTAGCACAAAATGATTATTGAGGAAATGAAGTCATACCTGATATCCAAGGGTATTCCATATGAAGGAATTAACCTTGAATAGATAACTTTAAGCCTAAAGTTGGCTCAAATATGTATTAAGTAAAAGAACCTCTAATACGCACAGCAGTGCTACGGTACATCTTCTGTGGAGATTTTTTAACATTATAGTTTTTATCTAGCATGAACGTAGTATCAATAGGTATTAAAACGGTACATGGATAAATAGATAAATTTTATAATATCTTTCTAGCAGAATAATATAATGACTACTAGCTAAATATCTAAATATAAATGAAGGATTAATTATGCATTAGTTTGAATTAAGTTTGCCTCGAATTATGCAACAATTGTAATTAGCATTCAAGCTTGAGTTTGTCACTGCATATAATCCGGTATTGGCATTTTTGGACGTACAGTTAATACTATGCTGTAGCATAGTTATTAAGGAAGTACTTCCCGTTTGCTCATTTACCGCGAGTTATAAAATATAAATGAATAGCAAATAATTGAAAATATTTAAATTTTTTGTGAAACCATTTCCTTGGTTTACTACAATTTGGTCATTAATGCTCAGGCCGTCCGAGAGCTGTTTTATGGTCTAGAAAATTTTGATGCTAGTTGATAGTACACTCGGTGGTTGCAGAAAAAGATATTATACATTAAAGCCAAACCAGAAGATTTATTGTAGAACAGTGATTATATAATTCTAGCTTGTAAAGCTGTAGTATGGAAACGAATCTGAGTAAAAATTAGGTAGAAATTACTATAATAGAGTTTAGCTTAACACTTACTAAATATAAAGCAACACGTAAGTTATTAAGTGAGAATACGATAGGAATGTTAACGTTTATGTTATTACAGCCTAGGAATATTCTTACTAGCAATCCGTATTGAGAATGTGCTTTCCTTGGCTAAAAAGTTACGAAAAAATTAGAATACTTGTACTTCTCAATCATTTGGTCGATCTTACACTAAACTATCAAAGGGGATCTGAAGAATTCGTACTAGTTAAAAATACAGTCTAAATTCATTAAATTTTTTACTTAGCATTAGAAACTATTAAACTACTGGATAAAGTTCCATGATAAACTTATTACGTAAGGTTATCGTCCTAGACCATTCCATCTTAACTTATAAATTCTACTTCTAATTTCTAGCGTCAACAAGACGAATGATAGGTTTCAGTTGGGCCAGTTCGCAACTGCTATTTCAACCTGCCTGCGATATTCTTAAGTTGGGAGTTACTTACGCTGTAAAAATAACTATGATCTACTAAGATACAGCTAAGGAGATTGCAAATATCACTAAGACCTGCTAACTTTTTTCAGTATCAATCTATTCCCCGAAATAAGCAACAGCGTTATCCGTATATGGTATTAAATATTAAGTAGTAAAATTCTTTGATAATTAATATACTCATTTGTGCGGAATTTATGAAATAAATATTGAGCAAAAATATGTACAAGAATATATAGCACAGTAAAAAGTTTACGGAACATTCGAAATAATACAATTATTTGTATTGTGTTAAAAAAGTGAACGAATTCCTATCATCTCAAAAAGGGTATCGCAGTGATATTTCACTTTAATACGTGTATGCATAAACTACTAGATGTATTTTTAGTAGTCCGTGGTATATGCCTTTATGACGGAGTATAGACTCCGTCAATTAATTGTGGCATTAGCCTTAGTAATTAGTAATTAGTAATTAAGATTTCATTAATTGTTAATAACATTTATTTATTAGCTATACGAGAGATAGTACTGTATATGGTTTGTTATAATTAAATCATCTTCGGCTAAGGGCAGGGAAGGGGAATTAGTTAGATACCTAATTTATAAGAGAGCTCAAAGCTCAGCCAGATCGTGCTCTGATCTTGTGTTATATGCTTGCTCTAATGTACGGGTATATTAAAAGCAGAGAATAAAATTTTTACAAATTTTGATCTAAGAATATATGACAGCTGATATTATTATTTAAAATATACAGTATATACAGTACTGTACAATAAAGTGTTATGTTCATGTACAGTACTGCATAGGTTATGTATACTGTACTCTGTAGTTGCTCGCGAGACTAGAAAGAAGATATAAGCGAGTTACTGTTTAAAATAAAGAGGGTTCTAAATTTGATCCTAGTAAGGACAAGGACTATTTATTTCAAGATTTATTAGTCCATGGTAAAGACTAGTCTGTTTCAATTAAAATATCCGAGTGTAGGTGGGATTCTTGACTCGTTTTCAAGGCAATAATGATTACTTACTTACTTAGAGAGCTCACGGACTACTGAACTACAGTATACAGTACAGTACTGTACTGTACTCTGAGTATACTGTACTGTACTGTACAATGTACAGTATTGTACTGTATAGTACTGTACTGTACAGTGTACAGTACTGTAAAGTTGAGAAGTTCCTGGTACCGTACTGTACTGTACAGTACAGTGTACGGTACGTTGCAGAACTGTACTGTAAATCTTGTCCCATAAGCGAAGCACAGAAAACATTGATATAAAAGGCTAGTTGAAATCCATGTGCTGTTACTAGTCTTCTAAATCTTGTGACTGCAACTGGTTTTATACGACTATTGCTGTGTTGATGATATGCTTCAGCAGATTACACGACATCTTGATTGATTTCGATCGGATGATTGTGATTGATGATATAAGCATAGATAGCTGAACAGCTTCCATAGATGCATTCTGTATCTCTTTCCAGGATGCTAAGTGACGACCAGTGCACATTATGGAATATACAAAATATATAAGGTACAGCATACAGTGCGTAACCCAATAATTGATCACTTTCGGGCAATACAGTACAGCAAAATAGGCGTCCGCCAACGTCACGCGTTTCACATGTACAGTACTGTACACTGTACTGTATGGTTGCATTTTAGCGGTGATCCGGTGACTGGTTCGGATCACTGCAGTACAGTACTGTACTGTACAGTAGAGACTGTAGTTCGTTCTCTCATCACGTGATTTTTTTTTTTTGACTCGAGTTACAGTGCACCGTACTGTACCACACAGTCTGGACTACTAAATGTTATACTGTACTCAGTAGTACTCAACAGTAGTACTGTACAGTAGTACTGTGGACGTTAGCCAGTTTTAATGAACGAACGTACAAACGTCCAATTTGAACGTCGGACGTTCATTGAACGTACCAACGTACACAGTGTACAGTGTTAACACTACAGTATATAGTGTACACTGTACAGTACGGTATAAGACTATACTACAGTATACTGTACAGTAGTACGTAACAGCGTACAGTATACTGTACTGTAGTCATGACTCTGAAATACAAAGTGTTGTAAAAGACGTTTGTACTACTGTACTGTATGTACTGTACAGTATAGTACAGTATTGGGGTGGGATTATACAGTACAAACTGACTGTATACGCTGTACTGTACACTGTACACTGTACAGTACAGTTCGTCGACGTCCGATCTGACAACGAACGTACAGTACATACCGAACGTCCAAAATCGAACGTCCGTTGGACGTCCAATCGCTCGACGTCTACAGCACTACTGTACAGTAGGCACCAGCCGCTAACTTGGTTTGCCACAGTATTATGTACTGTAACTTACGGTAAAGTACTGTACTGTACTGTAGAGTGTTCGTTCAATTTCTAACATGGCGGCTACGATTAGAAGATGGCCACAGATTTCAAATTTTAATGGTTAGTAAATTGCAATTAGAGTATTCTTTCATACTTACAGATATGCAGGAGATTTCGATTAATACTTACTTAGACTCATCTTGAATTAAATTTACAGCACTGCGTAACTCTGTTCCTTTACTTGGTACCAAAAGTTCATCAACAAGTACCGAGGTACCCTACGCTCAAAACGCTTAGATACTGTGTATTTAGGTCACAAAAATAAAAATACTATACGCATATGTCCTTGCCGCTATTGGCATACTGCATACCGTATATACTCAATCTTTACATAGCATGATTAATTGCTTATTGAATACCCTTCAAAGTAATATTTTGTGTGATCTTGATTTGCAGAAACGCACTTACGGCGGATTGAAGGTAATCGGCTATACTATATAGGCATATTCCCTTACGTTTTACAAGGGATATGAACAGGGACCTTTTGAGCTGTTCACAACAATATAAGCGTAAACGTCTTGTCATTGCAGTCTATTTTTTAAATAAAGTAGCCACAGTTTTTAATTTACGTTATTATGCTGTATTTACACTACTCAATAAGTTAGTACTTTATATCCATTTACTAAGCTATTTCTCTAATTAAGGACGAAGATAGAATTTTTACAAATCTGTACGGAAGACACGATTGGCGTCTAAAAGGAGCCTTGTCTAGGGTGATTGCAATAGCAAGAATAGAATTCGATTAGGTGGTTTTTATGTTATTTGATGGTATTGCATAACCTTCGCATACTTTCCTTGGTTTATGTAGGGTGATTGGTACAAGACTAAAGAGATTTTATTGAAAGGCCACGAGTGGATTCTTAATGAGGTTAAGAAGTCAGGCTTACGAGGCAGAGGTGGTGCAGGTAACTACAAGTTTATGTACTATAATAATATGCTATTTCCTTCGATATTATATGTAATTAGATCAATTTATGATTCTATCATGTAATTAATGTTATGATGGAGTGTGTGCTTGATTCTACCTAGGGTTCCCTAGTGGTCTTAAATGGAGTTTTATGAATAAGCCGTCGGATGGGAGGTTACAGCTTTCTGATATTTCTTTTTACTATTAATTTGCAAGGAGATTTATATCGATTGTATTATACTATTTGTGGACAAAAGGAGAATTCGTCTATTGATAGGATATGCAGAATTTTCCTATGTGTTCTTATAGACTTGTCTAAATCTTCCCAAATTAGGCCAAAGTATCTAGTTGTTAATGCTGATGAGGGTGAACCGGGAACTTGTAAAGATCGAGAGATCATGAGGCATGACCCGCATAAACTTGTTGAAGGATGCTTAGTTGCTGGAAGGTCAATGGGAGCTAGAGCAGGTATGGCATCGTTTCATACTATTACTTAGGTCTTGTTAGCAATAAATATCTTAGAATAATTAATGCGATATCGAATTTTTTCTCTGATCACAGCATATATTTATATCCGTGGAGAATTTTATAACGAAGCTTCTAATATGCAGATTGCCATTAATGAGGTAAGTATGATATCACTTGCTAGATATCTGATTAATAGTTACTTTTTGATTATTACAGCACTGGAACGTTAAACTATGTTCTTTCTATTTATAATATTATTATTTACTGTTAGGCTTACAAAGCCGGTCTCATTGGGAAAAATGCCTGCAGCAGTGGATATGACTTTGATATTTTTATGCATCGTGGAGCTGGTGCTTACATCTGTGGGGAAGAAACTGTAAGATTTTATAAGTTGATTTCATAAAATCATTTTTACGGTTTCAACCAAGCGAATGTCATAGAATACATATAGTCCTGCCGTAAGATGATATTTTGTAATCTATCATAATAATGACAGGCTTTAATCGAGAGCTTGGAAGGTAAACAAGGCAAACCCCGACTTAAGCCACCTTTTCCTGCTGATATAGGTATGCTGTATGAAATACTGCTTGTACAATATATATGCATTGATTGAAAGATTATTAATTCCGAGAACAATACGTGACTTCCACTATTAGGAGTATTCGGGTGCCCAACCACTGTGGCAAATGTTGAAACTGTTGCCGTCGCTCCGGTGAGAGATTTCAGTTATTACAGACGTGTATTTTACACGATGAGATAAAGACCTATTAAAATTGCTGCTTCGAAATACGTTCGGTTTCATCACGATCTTTAATATTGCAATCTGATATGCTGTATTCTAGGCCATTTGTCGTCGAGGTGGGGACTGGTTTGCCTCATTTGGCAGAGAGAGAAATTCTGGGACGAAGGCAAGTTTAATTATCATTTTTGGTTATTTTGACGTTGATATATCTTTTAATCGCGGCTCGCAAATAAACTTCTACTTTTTATGCTTGCAATGTGTGTTTGTAGCTTTTTTGTATTTCTGGTCATGTAAATGCTCCGTGCACCGTTGAGGAAGAAATGTCTGTACCACTTAAAGAACTAATTGAAAAGCACGCAGGTGGAGTAATAGGGGGTTGGGATAATCTACTTGGGATCATACCTGGCGGATCTTCAGTACCGGTCATACCTAGAAGGTTTACTTCTGTAACTGTAGATTTTCATGCGAACTGATGGTTATATTTTCTTTGTGTGTAATTATCTGTCATGGTGAAATATTTTCTTATTCGAATATTTAAGAATATGTGATGATGTTTTAATGGATTTCGATGCCCTTCAGCAAGTACAGTCTGGATTAGGAACAGCGGCTGTTATCGTTATGAATAAACAAGTGAGTTTAATTTTAACAGGGGTTGTATGAAATAATCAACTTGCTCATATATTAAAGTTTATTTTGATTTACTATATTCTTAGAGCGACATGATTAAATGCATATCTAGATTGATGGATTTTTATAAGCATGAAAGTTGCGGACAGGTATTTATTAACAGCGTCACTTTGTATTGATTACTTACAGCAGTGTGTGTTTAAGTTATGTGCCGATAAAATTGAGTACAGCAATTACTGAGTTGTAAATTTTTAATTTAGTGCACTCCTTGTAGAGAAGGAACGGGATGGCTTGCTAAAATAATGGCTCGTTTCGGTATAATGTTTAAGATAATAGTGTTTAGGGTATTATTTAGAATTAACAGCTAAGATAATAATTCGATGTAAATCCTGTATTAGTTGAAGGTAATGCTGATCCGGAAGAAATTGATATGATTGAGGTATAATAAATAAATTTCCTTACTATGATTTACGATAAGACGTGAATTGTAGGATAAATTATATTTGCTTATATTGTTATATTGCATTTATTACAGGAGCTTAGTCGCCAAATTGAAGGACATACAATCTGTGCCTTGGGAGACGCAGCTGCATGGCCTGTACAGGTGCTGATATCCTTAGATCTGGGATAACAATTTGAATCTTAATATTTGTTTAATCACTAATGTTATTATGGTTGAATTCGATAGGGTTTGGTTAGACATTTTCGTCATGAAATGCTTGAGCGCATAGAGCAATATAAAGCTAAGAATAATCGACAAGCGTCAGTGGCTAATTAAATTAAGATGTGAAATATATGTAACGTATTTTATAAAATATTATGCGGTATTTAGTTTAATTTACGTCGCCGTTCAGTAGCATTGCTTACATTTGTTGGTAACGTAATACAAGGCAATTTATTCAGGACGAAGAATTTAATAAAGCTTTTACACACACTCGTATGTTCTATAACTCCAGTCTGTAATTGATTTGCTAGATGATTATATAGTCAACTAATAGATGACGAGAAAATTACCTATCTAATTACTGCTTTTAAATAAAACTATACCCGTTACAATTAATGCCTTTTCTCCAATTAGATAAATACGGATAGAAAATCTTATTTTAGTTATTAGTCGTGATTGAATTTTACCATTCAATTGCAAATTGTGGTCAAGAACGAAAATAATGTAATCTGTAATGCTATAAGATAGATTGACTACTTATTAGATCATAACCTGCAAAAATTGTTCTGTTCATGGAATAGAATCTTGATAATCTGAAGTTATATGAATTGGACAATTTAATGAGCTGGTGTTGCTAGTCTGTTATAAAATAAAATTTCTATATTGACAGCTCCATAACATCATATATGCGTACTTATATCTATCCAGCGTTAGTACTTGATCTGGCTGTGGAATCGTTATTTACTGTAAATTAATTCGTGTTCAATCAATTGTATAGTTTTAAATTTTTCAGTATCTGATAAGGCGATACTATTTAAATTAACTATTTAAATATCTAAACTAGTTGTATGTTGTACAGTGTAACGTATGTTCCAAGGTCTATTACAATGACAGAGTAAGCATTGGTTTCATCAGCTTACACCTAATTAAAATGAAAGCAACCAAACAGCGCAGCATTGAAATTAAATTTTTATTAACTATATTTCGTTAGATAACAATAAATATGTACCTGTAATTCTAAGCAATGTGAACGCTGGAATTACCTAGTTAATTAATATCGTTATATTTATTTTTAAATCCTAGCATAAAATACCGCTACTGTCACTAGTAAATACGCAAATGATAGTAGTATACAGCATTAAAAAGTCATCGAAAGTATTATACAACTTAAGCATCGTATCAACCTAAAAAATTGCATTTTGTCTGACAATCGTGAGAAAAAGTTTGTACAACTTGACAGAAAATTAATGACTGTGTTAATCGTGCAATCCAGACTACAAGATGAAAGGACTATTATGAAATAATTTCTGAAATTATGTTGTATAATAGCAACTTTATGGTATTAACATTCCTGGTGTAGAGTATTGTAACCAAACACTAAATTTTGAAATCTCAGCTATTAGTATAATTCTTCATAAGAAAATATTACAGAATAATTGGCGTAAACAAAAGTAGATATGATAAAATAAAAGGTCTGTAGTCCTAATAATAAAATATATGATATTAATATACTACACAAAGCTGTCAACCCTCTTCGTATATGCAATTGAGCATGCATTGTTACTGGCTAGACTTCTGACATAGTCGGTAAAACGCAGGAAAACTGTTAACGTTCGCTAAAATTTCTATGAAGATGTCACAATGGCTAACGCCTTCTTTCTCTCTTTTGCGTTCTCTTTTTTTCTCTTTCTTTTCTATCTGCAACTTTCTGTTTCTCTTTTTGCCTATTAATTTTATCCCTTTCTACACGCGCTGCATGTGAAGCCTTCTGCTCTTCTCGCTTGTGACGCTCTTCTACAGCGACAGCCGCAGTGTTGGTATTAGGGTGGAAATCTAAATACAATTGATTGCACGAATGATTCGAGAGAAAGAAAAGAAGCATTAGTTGTCAAAATATTTTCTAGTTTAATTTCTTACGAGCTCATTATTATTTGATAATTATAATATCTGTAATAAATCCTATAACTATTTTATGGACCGTTTGATAAACAGCAGCTATCATAATCTATCATGATTGTTAGATTATAAATATAGAATTATTGTCAAGGTTTTAAAATACCTGAGATCATATTGTCCGATAAATCATCGTCATCATTTCGTAAAGTTAAGGTAGCGTTCTGAATTGCATAAATATCAATACAATTGCTAACTTGATACGATTTGAAAGAAAGGTATCTATTACGGAATGTACAAATAACTTCGATGTAATATGAAATTAATGATCATTCACTACCCTAAGTGATCAAATACTTGATATTAATCTGGTCAAACAGCATTTGCACTGAGAACTGATGCTGAAGTATTTCACATCAGATGCTTTAGTAATCTGATTATATTATTGTATAACTTCGGTAATTGTAACATTTCATCGATTCATGATTGCCTGCAGTAATAAGCCTTTTAAATCAGGATATGATCCCCTTTCGACCGCTCCTCCTGTACTTTCGTAGCCGTAACGTTCGCATACTGTTTTCTCCTTCTGATCCATTACATTTCTCTCGTGTATTTGAACTGTAGCGATATCAGAAATGGCGCTTTTTAATGCCGATTCTATATTGATGCTTCCTTCTGCAGTCTTGGAAAGGCTGCATTCTATGAATCATAAAACATATTACTATCATTGACTATATGGTGCAGTTACTGCCCTAAATAATATATATACTCGTATATGCTGTATATATATATATAAATTAATTATCAAAAAGTAAATGCTTTGATTCATAAAGATGGCATACTAAAGGATATCATATTCATGATTACAGTAATAAGAACAATTTTGTTTCAAGCATACTGTAATATCATATCAAATATTTGTATTGGAGCAATCATATATCATAATTGTTAATTTACCGAGTCTAGCATCATCTGATGGACTTTCAGTCCACTTATCGACGATTTCTTTCGCTAATTCATCCATTGACTGTTCCTAAATTGCGCAGCAACAATCCAGGTTATCAAAGGTTTTTCGTTTTACTAAATGCGTACAAATCACAGCGTTTGTAACTAGAGCAAGATGTGTGTAGGAAAACGGTTTTAACCGGAATACTGATTGCATATACATCTATCATTTAATAGAGTTGTGGCGGTAATAATATGCTAAAAGCAAAGATGTGAGAATATTGTTACGGAATTTCATTTGCAAAATGCCAATTTCTGTAATTTTGTGTTCTGGATGTATTTCCGCTAAACACATGATATCAAATTGTTCCATGTTATAGGAGCATAAGAATAAATACAAGTCAAACTATTGTATCGCAATACTGTAATGCAATCTATTAAGGTTAAGATTAACGTTAATTCACAAGCGTAATAGTTCTACTCTACATCTCCGTCACTATGTACTACAGTATACGATACGCATATGTCGGCGAGTATGCTGACACATATACTTTTATATTCTGTGTAGCTTATCAGTTTAGATTTAGATACGTTCTGTAATAACTTACGATCACTTAATAATTAAATGTTACCGTAAAATCAGTCAGTATTTCAAGCACACATTCATATTTATCATCACTTTCTTGCTCCAAAGCTGCTATGATGTAATTAGCCATCACTTCACCATCAAGACCAATAGCTTGCAGGCGATGGCTGAGCCATTCATTGAATTGGGATGCCATCTACAAACTGTCTTTCCGTTGTCAAATTGTACTATCCAGTTTAGTTACGATTCCTATTCTCGCTTGCTACATATATGTATCTAACTATGATCAAAAATTTCGACTGATGGTGAATAACAAATCCAAGGAAACGCAATAAAACTTGCAAGACTCAGCTCATTGCTATCTACTGTAGACTCTATAGTACTGTGTAGAGTGGACCTGTGACCAAAAGTGACCAAATGGTTCATTAGCTTTTGATCTAGCGAACAGACATGCGGTAAGTAGGGTAATGTGCGGTACTGTACGCTGTCCAGTACAGTACAGTGTAACGGCCTACAGTACGTAAAGGCCTGTAAAGTACTGTACATTGTACGCTGTACTGTACGTACAGTACACTCACTGTACAGTACTGTACTGTACACTGTACTGTACAGTGTAAAATGAATGACTGTGAGACCACAGACTACTAAAAGAAGAAAGAAATATGACTGCTAACAGTTGTTGACAACAAGGTACAGTACTAATAACATAATATGGAGGCTGATTATTTTACTGCCAATTTTAAGTGAATCATATGTCTGTAACAGTACATTGCACTGTCCGTGATCGATGTCCAAATTAGCTGCTAGATTGGTTTCGTTTTGTGTAGTACTAGTGTAAACTCCTTTACGATAATGTGCTCATTTAACAGATGGTATTACCATTTGTCGTAGACCTGTCAGAGGTTCAGTAACTTTATACCGTGTAATGCACAATCATGAACTACTGTACAGTACAGTACTATACTGTACAGTACAATGTAAAGTACAGTAAGTGCTGTCCTGTATAGTACTGTACACTGTACAGTACAGTATAAAGAAAGGTTACAGACAGACAGACAAACTACCACTAAAAAATGCAACATTAATCAAGACTTTTAATTAAAGATATCAAAAGCACTTTTTAAGCTTCGTTTATTTTATCCTACTGTTGAACGACAGAAAGCCATAAAAGTAACAGCTTATTTGCACACTGCCATACGCAAGTACAAATGATATACCAAGTACTTGTTAATTAATTATATATAAGTACAGTATATATACATTTATAACTCACAAACTGTATCATATTGAAAATTGGGAAGTTTACTATACTGACGTTCAAGGAATACACATACCATACAGAATGTTGTTTTTAAATACTGTATACAGCACTACTTCATTTTACAAAATTGTTGAAATTTTATAATTTTTTGTTAATTTGCAGTCTATATGTCTTTGTGACTCTGGAGATAACAAAAATTGAATGAATGATTGTTCACATATACGTGCAATGTTCATTAGATAGTCCCCTTCAAGTTTAAACGTAAACATTGATTTGAAATCATGTATTGCTGGTGTCAATAAGTAAATCATCGCAAAACATTCTAGATTATTTAATCATTACAAACTTGACCTGAGCAGGTTCATCATATCAAGAGGAATGACATGAGCAAGATGACCACTAAAAAGTGTGGTTAAGCTTTGCTACTTAAAGCCATAGTAAATGACCGTCTTTGCCTACTGTTCACAAGTGATTTTACAGTATCATAATTTCATGTAGCGCCAATATTAATGTACGTAAATGTATTGAGCTAGTTATGACTAGTCATACGTCACTCTACAAGTCGTGCACGTCATGATTATGGCTCATAAATATAATATAATAAGTGTATAGTTCAAAGGCGAAATAGTAATACCTGTCATAATAATTAAAATCTCAAGATGTTATGCTGCTGCTTGCCTAATTCGCAAATCTTGCTTACACTCATTGTTATCTTGATGACTAATAACATTCTAATTAACAACTATGGCTAGAGTAGATAGTTATAATCCCTCCTCTGTATTGTTTATGAATAGAACTCCATCTTGTACAGATCATAATTTGAAGGTCAATATGCAATAGTGCCCAAAAAAAGAATACCCTAGAAATAAAAACATGCTCGTAGAATGTCATATGTATAAGTATTTTGAGTTTCCGATCAGTATCTGATGTTAAAACATGAGACAATTTTATGTTGCACTTCAATTTTAATGTTTTATCGTATAATAAAATTTCGAATGATGCACATATCATTACTGGAAAGAGCAGTACATAGTAATATTCTCTCATGTGAAGATTATAGCTACAAATTTATGTATTGCTTGATTGCGTATACGCGTAGAAGTAACGTCTTACAAGAACAACATTCTAAAAACATAACAGGTTGGTTATAGGAATCGAAAAGTCGTGATAGGCTAAAGGCATCATTAATATTCTAAAAGTATTTCAATTAATAAAGATCATTTTCATCTGGAGCATCAAGATCATGATAATTGAGAAGTTTTCTTGGATCAGATCGATGCCTAAAATATATTATATGGATATTCATGTAATTTTGTGTAATAAATAACTATGAAAACGTACTAGAAAGAACGTCATTTACACGAGATATATAATTGGTACCTGCTAGATGGAGATGGCCTCATACGAGGAGTCATTGGCGGAGCTGCCGGATAAGATCCGAAAGGAGGCCTTCTCCCTGAAATTTTAAATTCAATCAAGATTGTTTTATACAACCCAGTGATCAAAGAAAGTTTGTATCAATATTTTCACCAAATCATATACATAAAAACTGCAAGCGCTAACCATCATTCATCATTAATGGCGGCTGAACAGGTGGACCCCAGTTCATAGGGCGCGGCCAACCCAAAGGTGGAGGAGGTGGTCCTCTGGCATTTCCTGTACCAGAACGTCTGTTAAGACTAGGTTCGACTTCCTCCGGGCGATTAGGATCTCGCAAGAAGTTATGAAAGAACTCAACCTTGAATAAAATTGAACTTGTATTTTAAAATATGGTATCAGAAGAAAGATAATGAATTGGATCTATACTACTGTATGTAGATAATATCTAAAAGTAACCTATACTTTCGTCGTAACTTAATGATACCTCAGCCCGCACTTCATCGACTTTATCAGAATGTTTATTAAATATGTGCTTCTTTACAAATTCAGGGCCACGAAATTTTTTACCACTTAATGGACATAACCATTTTTCTGACGATAGCTCTTTAGTATTTTCTTTAATGAAAGCTTCCACTTCCGTAGCTATGTGGTTAAGGAATTTATTTGTAACAAAACTGAAAATATATCATTAGTTGATTATATATATATCATATAATAAACAACATCATGAAACTGTAGAGGATATTTTTCCGGATCTTTTGATCCTAACTGTTCACACTCTTTGTCAGTCAAACGAGCTGGTGGCTCTTGAAATCGAGGACTTGTTTTTTTGGCCATACTATCTTTCCAATATTTAACTAGGTTCGATATAAAGTACGAAAATGTTAGATTGTTAATGATCTAATACACCGCACATTCACTAATATCTTAAACAGATAAATAACCTGGTAACAACTGAGGCATTAAAATATCATATCATAGTAATAATACACACTTTCTTTATATTGTATTTTTGGAGCTGATTTCCCACGAACTGTCAATATGCCGCAACGATGTGGCATATCGTCTTCATAAATATACTCAGAACCACCATAGTAATCGACTGAATGTACTAAGCGTAAATACAGGAGTAGTCGATCCAATACCTGTATCACAATTAAAACTCCATTATGTATAGAACAAATTATGCGAAGTATAAATAAAACTGGTGTTTCCATACCTGCAGAAGATCTTTATTAACATCTACGTCATATTCCGTATTGCTATCTTCATCTTCCTGCAATTCTTCGCTTTCTGGCAGGCTTAGTTTATCGATCTTTTCTAAAATCGGATTAGTCTCATAGTTTAAAGCCAGCAGTTCTGGATGTTTCTAAAAATAATTTGATATTATATTCATTTAATTTTTGTGTTCGAATACCATAATTGCCTGCTACGTTACAAAGGAGGAATTAACATTGTTCCTAGTAATAATCTTATTCAAATTATACCTTTTCGCTAATCCATAACGAATATTTGTTATCTAAGAATTTTGCTAGCTTTGATGCTAACATAATGTCATTTTCTACACAAGGTTTATGCGCAGCATAACCAGCAATCGAACGTATACGACGATTAAGCTCCCTATTTAAAGTTGCATACAATTCAAACTTGCGAATCTAAAACAAATAATGATTAAAGAATCAGTAACTAGTATCCGTACTGTATCATTCAAGTAAACTAAAAAGAGATACAAACTTTTGACCCGTTGATTTTATTACAAGTTTCTCTAATATCGACAGTACTTTCAAAAGTAGCCCAAGCATGTCTGTAAAATCTATTAAAATTACTAATCATTAGGTTGTTAAGAAATCTTTAACATATAATGCAACTTAAAACTTAAAATCTCCTTACCTTTTATCTGGCATTACTTCGCCAACAGCCACCCGAATAAAACCTTCATACTGGGAAACTACCTAATAAATGAAGGTAAAAGTTAAGTCTTCCTAGATCTGATAGAAATAATATAGAATATACAACATAGAAAAGAGATTAATATAAAGATATGAAAGGCATATTAATTAAATGTCACACCGATTCGATATCAGTCTTTGAGATAACTGGTGCTAAATTTCGCAAAAATATCGATAAATTTTTGTGAAATTTTCTACGTTTGACGTCACCTATTTCATTGCTGTTAGAATTCTAAAGAATATTCCATTGGGAAAATATTTTATTAAGCAAATGCATGTATTGCTAAATATAACATGAAGGCAACCTATTAATTATTTCAAAATTAATGCTAGGTATCCCTCAAATTGTAAACTAGTGATGTCAACTAACAGCCAATTGACCTAATTAACTAACCAACCACATGAGTTAATATGAATTAACAAGATGGCCTAATAGTCCATGACTCGCTGTATAGTGTACAGTGGTTAGTTGGTTAGGTCATTCGTTGTAAGTTATCATCACTATTACGAACCAAAAGAATATCTGCATACCTTGCTCATATCAAGATTTTCGCTCCGTTTACTATCATTTTCATCATCGCCCTAACAATTGCCAAGCATCAAGATTACGAAAATAATTATTATAAGTCCTGCCTTACATACGTAAAATAAATATTGTATTTTATTACCTCTTCTATGTAACCTTCGTCATCTTCTAACACACAAAACGTTAATAAATTGAAATAAATTAATACAAATTTTTACTAGTTATATCTAGAACAAGTCCTGAATAACAAATTATAATGTTTAAAATTTCTTTCAGTTTCGTAAGCACCTCCACGTTTTGAATCACGGCTTTCAGTTTCATCCTGTATAGTTAGTGGCAAAATCACATAATTGTTCCATTAATAAAACATATAAGACTTCAGGTTTGTATAATTATATAACTAAACACATCAAAATACAAGTCAAAAGGCTTGTTAAAATAGATCAATACGAATGAAAAACTACCAATAACCATCAAAGATCATTTCCAATCAAGAAAGTAATTTCTGTACTGCTAATACTTACTTTCGCTGCATCTTCTTTGTTCTCACTATCTGATTCTAAGTATTTTAAAATATAATCCAAGTGTTATAAGAGTTTGGCATTGTGGTGCTGTTTATGCATGTACAGTTAATGTATAGTTAAATCGCTAGCAATACCGTAATTACCATTTCCAGTTTCTTCTATTTCAGTAGCTTCAGTTTGAAGCTAAAGTTTTAATACGATTTCATATTATAAATTAATAAAAATGAATGACAGTTACACGTTACGGTTCTTGAATAATAATCAATTACGAATCAAAAAATATTATTACTTCGCTTGATAATTTATATACGTAATATGAATATATATATACTATTAAGAACCTTGGGTTTGTCAGGGACATCGGTTTCTCGTACTTCGTTGTCCAGGAGCTCTGCATCATCATCGGTTCCACCTTCTAATCTAATCACAACTTTAAAGGAGAAGAAGGTTGATTAACCGTATTCTACAACGACAATATCAGAAAATACTGTATAATGCATTACTATATCATAAACTTACATTCATCAAGTATCCGCGTAACATTCATAGTATTATCGTGATGCAATGGCACATCACTTAATCGGTCATTATCATACATTTCCATGAATGTTAGCAGCCTTTTCACTACATTATCTTTCAAGTATTCGGTCTTAGCACTAGAATCAACCGGATGATATTTCTGTCGAAACCTACAAGATAGGGTTGCACAATTTTTTCAAGGGATATTAAGCGATCCTTTCTGAAGAAAACGCAAGCTATTGTTAACTTATTTATGAGGATTTCCAGTTAAGTATAACCCGAATACGAAATTAGCAATCAGCTTTACATCAATTTGTAATTACCAGTCTTCCCCTTTGTGGATCATGAAAAACTTCTTACAGTGAGTTCTCTTATAATCTAATTTATATTCGTTATATTTCTTAATAGCATCCTCTTCATCAATTTCATCACTTAAACTGTTCAGAAACTGTTTGAAGGTCATCATGCTTGCAGCACTACCAGTACTACTAACATTACCACCATAAGTATCCCTGCAATTACACGCATGATTGTGTTAGTACTTTATTTTCATGCTACAGCTAAAGTCGATGGAATTCGTTGATTGCTTAAACACCCTCATACCACCGTAAATAGTATGGCTTTTAAAGGTGCTATTTCTTTAAACGACATCAACTTACGGGCGAGAGTTGAACTGATGAAAGTCATTGACGTAATTAGGCATATATTCATAGGCCGGCTGGTGTTGATGGTGTAAAGGAGGCAGACGTCTCTCAGATTCGTCACGATAGAAGTGGTCCACACCTTGTTCCCTATCAATATTTCAAATTTCAATCCACTAGATTGTAGCCATTTATAACGAGCAATAAACCAATATAGTAATATATTGCAGCTAGAATTACTTTTGCTCCGATGTATAGTAGCTCGTCTATCGAAATATCACGATAGAATCTAGTAAATGGATAATTGTAAAATACTCATACCATTATGTAGGTAATGATGCTCTCTAAGAATAAATAAATTCATTCTGGAGTTATTACATGATTCAGGTAAAGTATTCATTTTATAAAGTTAAGCAACTGGATAGAAATACATAAATAAGCTTAATAAGTATGCATTTCTATCCAGTTACACAGTATGCGTATCGTAGCGTATCCTATCAGGGAAATACGTGTATCAGTCTATTGCATTCATAAATGCCGACTGTCAAAATCTTGTAGCTTCACATTAGTACACTAATGTCTACTGATAGCATTTTAGCTTGACAACAAGTAAAAGAAGGCAATGCCAGCTACGCAAGCTTTCACGCTATGTACGACCAACATATTAGACATCTAAAAATGCATTACCAAGGTATCGAAAGCTACTTTAATACTTCATGACTATTGTCACAATCATGAATCGGGAACTGCTGGAGCGTTGCCTATCATTGGTACTGACACATTAAAATCTAAAAATGTATTACAAATGTATTGAAAGCTACTTTTTATACTTGATGACTACTGCTATTGCCGCCATCATGAATCCTGAACCGCTGCCTGCATACTATGATTGAGATTCTACAAGTGCTGTACATTACTAACACCTACTTTCAGGTAATGAGTCTCACTACGAATGAACAACACTATCAAAGATGTTTACCTTCAATTTGTATTTTTAAGTATGTGTCATTTTGCAAATTAGTCTTCCAACTGAAATATAACGCTTGCTTACCAGTCTCGATTTCTTTTACTGGGGGGACTTGAACCACGATTAGATCTTCCATGACCTCGATCATAGTCGCGATAATCAAAGGAACGTTTTCGATTACGTCGGGAATCCCATGATGAGCTATCATTCCGTCTTTTATCATACGAACTACTGCTACCACTGCCTCTGCCATCGCGGCTACGTTGTCGATCATTTAAATCGTTCCTTTCACGGCGAAATTTATCGCGTTCACGTTCTCTAGAATCGTAATCATCATCGCTGTCGGCCATGTTGGTTGGATTTTAGTTAAGCTTCTTCACTTCTGCCACATGCAGAAACTGTGATTGTAGGCATAATAAGAGTATGTAGAAAGTAATATTTGTTAATAAAATTACAGCTATACAAAGCTAGCAGTAATATTCAGCTAAATTCAATGAAATCTTCTCCTTGCATAAAGTAAAATCTATCTACATGTCTGCCTTTTACTCGTACACTAGTTATCGCGAACGCACCTAACAAAGAACCGTGCTAGTCAACCGACTTGCGCTACAATATATACTATACTGAAGGCTGTTAGTTTTTGCTTGTTGTTAGTACAGTACATTACAGTAGTGATGACATTGGAGTGCGATGTCACAGAGGTGTAACAGTGTGGCCCTGCATCTGTAAGGGCATATTTAGTAGCCCATGGCTGCGTTGACGCTATACTGTACAGTACAGTAAAATACGTCAAGGCCATTTGCTGAAAAAGCGCTATTTTGGAAAATGACGGCAGTGACGGACAGACAGTCGGCGCATGTAACGTAGAAGAGTTTAATATAAGCGTAGTAGAGTACAGTATGACGGACTTGCAAGTTTATACAGTACTGTACGGTACTGTAAAAATACCTACAACAGTACTGTACAGTATACTGTAGTACAGTACAGTACTTTGCGTACAGGACTGTACTGTACATTTAGTGTACAAGGTTTAAAATCCCTCAACAACGGTGAAATTACGGTAACCGTTAAGTTTTTCGAGATCAAAATGGAATCTCGTGCTAGTCATTATAGCGAGCTGTACAAACGATGTAATTTTATCCAAAATCAGCTATTATTGACAGTGGCATCAGCTCAGACGAGGTAAAATGATAATAATAAATCATCGCTAATTACTAACATGACAGGGATCAGTTGATTTAATTAAGGCTGCATTTCTTAACGATACAGTAACAGCAGGTAACAGCAACTTGCCTGAATACAACCTCTTTAAGTTAACTGGAAGCTTAGCACTTGACTTTACTGATTAAGTTAAATAAATAAGAAAAGAAAATAAATTGAAGAGTGCAAATCATGAAACAGTTACAGGAACATACTGTACTGTACTGTAAAAGTGTAAAATGCACATTTATTAAGACTGTATATATACTGTACTGTAGTGCAGCAGCAGTACTGTGCACTAGATTAACGCGCTCTTTCATTAATTTATTTATTTAATTACTACTAATGATATAATGTTTGGTTAATTATATATTATTATTATTAGTGGTAAATTGTAAATCGCGTTGCAGTCCTGAGAGGCTCCTGCTATTGCTGTGACTGCGTGTATGGTATATTATATATATAGTTATATACTGTCATACAATACGAGTATTCGCCAAATTTACTGTTTACAAGTTTCCTGTTAAAGTTAATTAATAAATTTAATTCAATTCAATACCTTTCAGTTCGGTAAAGTACATACTGATCCCTAGTTTGTCTTGATTCTTCATGCATTGATCGAGGCAAATCGAATCAATGTTTACCTCGTACTGAACCCAGTTTTTAATTTTCTGTTTGATGCACGCTTGCGTTTGATGCTTGTTCAATACTGGATGACTGGATCTAGGTTGATCCCAAAGAGTAAATGTAATAAAGTCTGTAGTTGAGGCCAGGCTTTCAAATTACAAGTTCATTTGCATGCGTCATGTAATACGAGAGTATATACTGTAGCATATGAAATTGCAGTATTGAGAAATTCTAGGTCTACTACTGTGCTAACATCGATCTTAGCAAATATTAAGTCAACGGTTACTGGAAAAGTACTCATTAAATCGAAGCTTTAAATAGCGTAGGCCTAAGTATTGATAACGTGAATGAGTTTTGAATAGTCTGTTATTTTTTTCTATGTATATAGCCCGTCTACGGGTCAGTGCCCTGTGGCGAAGCGAAAATACGTTGAAGAAGATAAAATGCAACCCGATGTGGTCAGTAACTTATATGCCATAGTTGCTAACAGTACAGTATTACTGTAGAATTTAGAGCTACGTGATAATTTTATATGTCTACGTTATTGTCAAATAATTTGTTTTGCACAGTCAGCCGAGCCTAACTGCTAATTATCTTGCCTTGTCACCAGTGTACTGTTTAAAATTAAGTACTTATGAGATAATAACATTTCTTTTTCACCAGAAACGATTCCGAAATACGACTACGAGAGAGATAGCAACTAACATTGGTATGTTCTAAATTCTCATCCCTTACTTTTGGCCACTTTTCTGCAAGACCAATATCATCCAAAGACTCGTAGCTGCTGCTGTAGCACTGTCCTGCACTCCAGTAAACTGATAATCATATAATTAATTAATACGGTATAAATGCCGATATTATTTCGATGTTATGCCATGTGCATTAGTAGTAGCTTCGTACTGCATAAAGCAGCATGTATTCATATTTTAAAATTCTCGATCCGTTTATAATATCCTTTTCCCTTTGGCTTAAGATTGCGTAAATCAAGTATCAATAATTAATATATATAGCTGAAAAAAGTACTGTATTCATAAGACGTATAGGAAACTATCAGTACAATGATGAGATAGATTTGTTATTCGTATGATCATGATCCCGTGATCTATAATGTATGCGGCATACGCGCTTAATGTCAAATGTATTCATTGATATCAGTGAACTAACAGAAATTATAGGTAATACCGTAAGTCACCAATGGTGAAGTTTATTTTAAAATGTACAGCTTGTTAAAAATTATACAAATTGCACTATTTTTAACCAATAGATTACAGTATATGAGATATATCTGGCTTTACATAGTACATTACAAACAGGAAATGTGTTACTAAAAATTCTAAACTATAATATACTAAATGTAGATAATATGAATACAATATAATAAATTAATTAATTAATTATCTATATTTAGCAACTACCTTTGCGACATTGATGTTTATTGTAAAAGCAAATAGTCTGAAAAGATTACTGTGGTATCGCTGGATATAGTTCATTAAACCGCACACACATGATATCGATTGCAACGACTATAACGAGACATAGTCGCATAAAAGTGTACGTATTATCCAAAGTTAACTAAAACCTAGCAACTGGATCTGAAGTGAATTCATTTCGTGTCGTCATCGAAGATCGCTTTTACGGAGTCTTTAGCTTTTTTTCTAGCTAAGTATCTCTCACGTGCAGCTGATACTGTGTCCGTAACATTGCGGCGGTCAAACACTGTCTGTTTGGTTTCAGATGAAACTTCCGTTGCAATAGTATCATTCTTCTTGTTATTAGCTTCCTCCTGAACTACTTCCGATGATTTATCTTGCTTACTAAATTTAGATCGACTAGATTCAGCTTCGCCTATATCATCGATATTTCGCTTCATGTCATTCACTTTGTTTGGCATGTGATCGTTATCCTGTCGGTCAATATATTTAGAATGATCTGAGTATTCGGTAGCATCATCATCTCCGCTGTTGTCACCGGCTTTGCTTCTGTATCTCTGTTTGTCATCAGTATTTCGTGGTTTACTACTGCTAGAATCACGGGATTGATTTGTATGCTGCTGATTATCGATGGCATCCTTATCTTCCGCTTTTGACTTAATTGTATTTCGAGATACAGACGTCTCTTCCTTCGCTAACGTATTATTTAGTAAATGTCTATAGAAACCACTTAAATCGCTTTGTTTTTTCACATCGTTTAATTCTAAAGTGAAAGACCGTGATATATGTTAATTTCGTAAAAAATAATTGCTATAAACGGGTTATCCCTTTACCATCAATTCTGTCTTGCTGCTTAATGCGTTCCTCCTCTTTAGCTAATTCCAACATCTTCTCCTTATAACTAATTTAAAATTCAATCGTTACATTATCAATAATATGCAAAGCAGATAAATTTTAGTATTCAATATCAAATTGATACACAATACAAAGAATAAGATATTTGCATTACTGTGCGGTAACGAAAGCTTCCTTATCTTGAAATTTATCGCCTTCAGCTTCTCGCTCCTTTTGGATTTTCCTTTCTGTCATTCGCTCATATTCACGCTTTCGCAATTCAGCCGATTTCATTAGTGAAGCTATATATTTTGGCTAATAGTATTTATGACAATTAAGTTCATAAGGATATAATTAATAGTTTGTCCATAATTCTGACGTGAAAATTGTTCTCTTATCTAACATAACGCTAGGCTAAGTGCAGTATTACTAAAGCACTATTGGCGGTTCTCTATTACAGCAAACTTTATAAAGTAGAAGAGTAGTGCACCTTTCTATCGGTAATCACAGCAGGATTACGAGCGACTTTCTTGTTCTCTAATTCATCATAGATACTATCATACTCGAAAACCGTGGGATCTTCGGCTTTGGCTCTATCCAGTTCTAACTGGACCTATATAATTTCCGAAAGAAATTGCCATATTGGAGTACAGGGCCTTGATAAGTACCTCACTTTTTAAATTAATAAATGCTACATCTTTATACCAAGATTTTGAATCAAGGGTAACGAAAAAGATTAATTCGTATCAATTTTATTATGTACTGTACGAATTATTTATTAATTACATTCTTATAATGTTTACGACTATTACGGCATGGTCCTACCTGCTTACGTTGATGCTTTTTAAATGACTCTTGTAATATGGAAGCATTTACAACACGTTTCTTGTTGAAGCAAAACAAAAAGACTTTCAGACAGTCGCTGATAAAAATGCGTTAAATTCAACACTGTATCATACGAATTGATATCGACCATAATAAGTAATAAACGCCTGTAAACTACACGTCAATAGACCCTCAATCATGTATCAAAACAGTTGGTATTTAGCTGTTACGCAAATTGTGATATAGTAAAATAAAACAATAACGTAATGTAACACAGTAGTTAGCATCATACCATATGTGGAAGATTTGATTTACTTAAGAAATTGGGTAATATTTTGTTATAATTTAACTTAATATATTGTAAATCTTTGGTGTTAGTCGTTTGTCATTAAATCTATCTATATAGCTATTAACCAAGAAACTACTTAAAATTCCATTCATAATTTATCTTAATACCACGATATGAGTTGAACTTTGTGTTACGTAGTGTGCATACCTGATCATCCTCGTTATCAGATTCATCACCAAGGACATTCGTATTCTTAATTACCCGTTTACTTGAACTTACTTTATTATTAAGTATTAAGCCATATCTAGTTTTTATCGTTAGTTAGTTATTATAGTAAAATTTAGTAAAGAGAGTTATAATTATTTTGAATATCATAACTGTTTACTTTAATGTACAGGCTATAAGTTACTAGGCTATATAATACTGATATATTTTGCTTCCAAGTCGATATACGAGCAATTGTTACTCAATGTGAGAGATACGCGTATTCATTCAATCTGCTTTTTAATTGGTAGTGGATAATTCTAAAGTAACTAGAACTGCATCGTATCGTGTGCACCTGCGAGCAAATTAATAAATTACAATATTTATCGTCAAGCATAGCATTTACATGTAAAGTATTGTATACTATGGAATTGGCTACGAGGTGATCATTTGGGCTATTTATGTGAATACGCGTACAGTATATTCATCTAAAAATTTCCAAGTGTGAAATATTGTAAAGTGGGCTAAGAGCAGCGCTGCACTGAGTAGAATATTAGTGTCCAAATAGGCAATACTAAAATCCTTGCGAATGGAAAGCATAGGCTACATTTTAGAAATGTATAATTAAACTGATCAATGGTTGATACAGTACTGACGAAAATTCCAGTTAGACCTTTCAAACCGTCAATTCCATTATTTTAGGCCGCATATTGAAGCATGCATAAGCACAGTTTGCCAGAATTATAGTCATAACAAGTACCATGCAAATGTACTGGAATATAAAACAGCCGGCATTTGCAATTATATGACGAGTTCTATTACCTAACTGTTACCGTATAACCAAAGTAGAGAAATTACATGGAAAGTTTACAAAATGGCCTACAGCACTTTCAACTTTGCGTTAGTGTTTTCCAAGGTAGAATCATGCTGTACACTGTAGTACTGTACAGTATGACCGTATCTCATTTTGCTTTGAGCTCGAAATTTCTGCTATTATAATTATCGGAAGTCACCGAAATTAAATTAAAACACCTGCGGTTACAGCGATAGTAAGAGCATAACTACCATTGATAAACATAGAATATAAGCTATTAAAATAACATTTTGATGTACTCCTAAAATCAATCACAAAATCATCCATGTTAACTTACTTCTTGCTTCCCTTTGCAGCCATGTTTAGCTAGCTCTACTTGTGCAGTCTGTGCAGGTCGGTCCGAATACGAAACTGCACAAACGACTGACACTCCGTACAGTGTACAGTACTACATACTGTAGTCTACGCTACACCGTCCAGTGCACTCGTACTGTACTGTACATACAGTTCTGTACAGTTAGACCTGAGAACGGTTCTTATATAGATCGTAACGGTCTACCCCGAACCGAACCTTTCTCAGGTCTATCAGTACAGTACTTGCTACTGTACTGTACACTGTACTGTTCTGTACGGTATACTCAGTGTATCGTACAGAAATAACTTCGGCGGTTCAGTTGCTCAACTAAAATCAAATTGAGTTCCTCAGCTTCTCATGTGTTAAAAGCGAAGCCATTCGTGCCTTAAGATATAAGCATCATGGAAAGTCATTTTGAGATTATGGATGTAAGTTATCGAATAACTCCAATCGTGAATGATTGATCGATATAAGTTGCAAATTGGATATGATAGTTTTGCTCTATGTAGGGTACTTTAAATACTTTGTACATTTGTTGTAGAGCATCAACGATCTCTTAGCCTCATCAGTATCAATTCTCCTGAATGCACAATTGTCCATCGGTAGTTAATGGATGATAATCGCCCGTTGATTTACGATTGATTAAATCATACGTAGGATAAAGTGTTTGGTAGAACTTGTCGTTCACTTTTTTTTCACGAATATGATCATATAGTCGATGGGACTTCAGTTTTTGTTCGATTATAATTATCGCATAAACAAGTTTGACGACAGAATTTATCCATCACTCAAAAAAATGACAAATTGTTCATAATACCCCACTTAAAAATAGTACTGTACAGTATATAGTATTATGGTCAACTTAAGGACAAGTTCGTAATATACCTATCCATTCTGCTCATCGTTTTATATCTACTAATTATGGACATTTTTCTTTCATCTAGCAAATTCGTGCCTTGACAAGGCCACCACAGTCAGATGATGATAGCAAGAAATTAAATCGAAAAGTTGTTCGAGAAGTACGAAGAAGTGGAAGATCATTTAATAATGATACTTGCGACAGTTGTAATGAAGGTGGTGACTTGCTATGCTGTGAAAGATGTCCATCAGCATTCCACCTTCACTGTTGGTAAGATATATCAACGATTATTCTCAGCCACTTTAGTTCATTAGCTTTTTCAATCTCTAATTTCGCCTTTCAATAATGCGAGTTTTTACTGTAATATTGGTGGTCCATACTCAGTACTATATTTAAACTGGGGTATCTATGCAATAACTTTTTGACGGATTGCTATTTTGCCCGTACGAATGCCTTTCCATTTACAGGGATATAACTTATGTAGTCCTTAGTTTCATACACATTAACGTAATTTTTGACACTATAGTGATCCACCACTAGATGAAGACGGAATTCCTGCTGGTGAATGGATTTGTAAAAAATGCAAAGCCGAATATCAGGTGTTACTCCACATTATTTAGCGATTGCGCATCGAAACGCTTGTTTAAAATCTTTGGTCTCTTACGACTAAAAATCTACAGATGATTAGAGCAATTATGATTGATTTTAACTGTTTCACTGATCTATCCTAAAAATGTAGGACAATACTAGGCCGATTGCAAAACAGTCGGAATTACGATCACCGTTTGCAGTTTTAGTAAAAGATAATGTGAAGCAGAACCCGTCCGAATTTCGATTACCTAAAGAGATGCAATATCACATTCCATTACCTGGTACTATACTGTAGTATACAATATAATTTTGCTCCAAACTACGGTAGAAAGTAAATTACGCGTAAGATAAATATTTATGGCTACCTGCTACTAAGAAAGTTGGTAATAGATAATAATAATTAGAAGAGACTTCGTTACGCACTTAAGTTTCAATTAATTCTATAATTATTAGGCTCTAAGAAACGCAAGAAATCTAACGGGCACGGTTCAGCGACTAAAGGTGGTCGAAGGTTGGTGAAGATGGATTTGGTCGTAATTGCTAAGAAATACTTGTAACCTTGTTATTAATAAAATTAATTGATAATATCATCAAGATTTTAGCAAATTGTTAAAAATTTTCAACTGGTGACCAAATTATGTGACTATTAATCAAATTTATTGTTTTTCTAAAAGACAAAGTTCATCTGCCCAACCACCTACCAACGTTACCGTTAGACCGTTACGATTATGTTACTACTGCTCAGAGTGCGTTTTATTGTTTTTAAATGTGATCATATTATATTGTGGTATTCAATTGCTCGGCATTATTGTTACTAATTTAAACGTTTTCGGATTATTTTATGGGTGCTGTAGAGGTAACAGCTTTTTAAAACCGCTGATACATTGTGATTATTGTCCGTTATCTTTTCATCTGGATTGTATGGATCCTCCCCTAACTACGACTCCATCAGGATTATGGATGTGTCCTAATCACGCAGAACACTTTCTAGTAAGTTATGGCTATTCGGTTTGAGCTTAAAATAAAATAGATAACCAGTTCTACATGCCAACTAAAGCCTAAATTATAACTTGCTAAATTTAGCCCGCAATGCAAGATTCAAGGATTAGTCGCCGTTTTGATGCATACTATAAACTGAATGATTCGCTTTCCCAACATGCGGTGATGTTAGACTTCTTGGAAAATGTCCACCGGTAATTTTGGCTAATTTTGGAAAATTTCCAGATATTACTGTACTGTATTCGTGTAGGATTGCCGATGCAAAACTAATACTGATAGTGGAATTTATACTATTCAGCAATCGACCACCATTTCAAAGAAGTTCGAAATACCCACTCCGAAAAGCTATTAAGGTAGTCTTCTGTTATCAAAGTATTTAGTTCAAAGTCTATTTTCCGATTATTTACGAATCGAGAAAAACTGTCATTAATTTAATGATGTATGATTTATTCCGTATTTTATTTTAATTTCGATTTGAAAGGTTCCTGAAATGGTTAAACAGAATTATTTATCACCACCAAAGGAACTTAAAGAGTTAAACCCTATTCGGACTCTTACTGTAAAACGAGCATTTTTAGCTGATGGGATTGAATCTACTGAAGCTCAGACTACTAATCAAGAGTCCGAAGAGGTTGAGATAGATTCATAATTCGTTAGACTACTTATTTTACTATTATAGGTATAAAAAAAGTGATTATATTCCTCAATGCTTTCTTAACCATTAAACAGTGGCTAAAGAATATAGTCAACTTCCAAATTGCAATTGCTAAAGAACATCACTCTGGCAAGGTGAATGCACGAAACTCCAGTTCTGTAAAAGCAAATAACAATGAAGGAATAGCAGAAGCTATAACAGCAAGCAAATTGGATAACAACAATCAGAATATAGATAAGGTTCTTTCTAATGGTATTTTGGATGAAGAGAAATATGACAAAAAGATTATTTCAGTTTCTGCAAAAGAGGACAATGAAGCTGTCATTTCAAATAATTGTACGATTTCAGATAACACAAATAAACGAAGTAGTGTACAGAAAGAACTGGTCACAACAACGGAGAATATAAATAAAAGTAACTTTAATATTAACAAATTTGTTTCAAAGAATGACTCAGTACTCATAAATTATATCGAATTACAAAACGTCATTAAAGAAGGAAATAATAATACAAGCCACGACACTAAAACTAGATCCGAAGTTACTGGTGGGTTTCATAACAAAAGCTTACTTTTAATTTTAATTATGATGTATTCATGTTAGCTCAAAACTTGTTAGTTATTCCTGGTCAGTAAGTTGTACTGTGTTTTAAATTCTATATAGATTTAATTGATGAATCGATGCTTAAGCTTTTAGCTTTACAACGGCTAAATCAGTTGTTTCCTAACACTATGGATGTTAAGGTATATATATATATTTTGGGACAGTCTTGCTTTATCAATACGGTGTACCTTATATTTTAAAATATTTTACTGAATTGTTACACTTAATTATGTAGATGCAAATTGCTACGAATAGTGTCAACAATATGATTTCAGGTATAGGTTGTTAAAACTTGAAATCGTAGTACTGTAGTGGATGATAAAGTAATAGCTATGCGTATTATATTTTATCTAAAATTTAAGAGAGCCCTTATTGCCGAGCTCTTATCTGCCCTTTAAACGGTATCGGAGCTGCAATACCAATGGTTAATAAATCTCTTACGATGGGAATAGGTTGGTAATGTTGCGAATAGAGTTACACGTAAAGGCATTTTTTTCGTTATACTCATTTCAGCGAGCTTTCCAGCTTAAAATAACTTTCTCTTTAGGAGCTGATATGGATGTAGCAGTATATAAGTATGGACATTGTAATTTTGTGTCCTCGAAGCATGCTTGTATATTTTATGATAAGGTATTGTAGACATTGTTGTATCGGTAATCTCGATCTTGTATTCTACATTATCTTTTCTTGTTAAATTAATTCGTTTATTATTTCACCGTTATAATTAATAGATTACAAAACAGTATGAATTGTTGAACTATAGCGAACATGGAACGTTCGTGGATAGTATTTTATACGGGTGTGACTTTTCTGTGAAAAATCGTAAGACATTTTCAAGCCAAGAAGAGGTCATAAAGTCGTGTGGCGTTTCTTCAGCTGAAAGAAAACTAAATAGTATTTCAAAGAAACCTTCAATGGTACCTTTTCCTGAAAAGGATCCTTGGAAACCTTGTGACTGCAACCGTAACAAGTCTACTAGTACTAGTACTTTAAATGAAAGCGCAGGAGCCGGATGGGAAGGAACGGCTGTCATACGTCATGGCAGCCATATTAGATTAGGATGCTTGCAATTCATGTTCAGCATCGTACAAGAGTCATCACCTAGGAATATTTCAAAGTAGATTTTGCGGATTGATTGTTTAAATATAATGCGATTGTGTACAAAAGTTATATAATGCATTTCTGAGCTCTGCTTTCAGTTAGACGTTGTAAATACATTTACTGCTAGGCACAATTTGTATATATACTGTATATATATATATATATCAGTTGCACCGTTCCAGAAAATTGTTTAACAAATCCGTATTTATTGAAGCGATAATACGCGTCCAAATGTTTTTATAATCCAACATCAAGCGACTTTCTTTCATTTTTTGTATCCAAATTTTTATACCGTGCTGTGATCTTTTATTAGGGGATCTATGTTGGTAACGGTTCGATTTTACTGTTATGTCTAATTAAGAATTACTATTGTGTTGTAAATTAATAGTGTTAACCAATTTGTTAGCAATGAAACATATTTCAAAAAGTGCTCATCGCAATGCAATGTAAAACTTTATTTTGACGGTAATTATGGAATGTTAATATATAATTACAATGAATATTATAGTTCACTAAAAAAATAATAGGAAGCAGGAAATCATAGAATTAAATTTCTTTTATTGCGTATGTTCATCTTTGTACATGTAAATCTTTCTTATCCATTCTTAAATTCTACACATGTAAAAAATGAGATATGTTAGTTACAAAAGAACAACGAAACTGCGTCAATGTACTATTCTGTCAAGCAACAACTACTAATTTCTTACTTTTTAAAGATTTGCACCACATCTTCGTCATTAAGCTCATGATCTTTACCAACTTTCTGTGGATTATACTTTACGGAAGTACCATAGACCAGTGCACTAAGAATTAACATATACCATTTTAGTTTACTAAAGACTTTAGTAAAACGTATTAAATTATTATCACATAGTGTTTAGGTAACTCTTTAAGGTGAACGTAGTAAAAGTTCTATTTTTAAAGCAGTGTGTGCCAAAAGAGAAGACGGGGAATCGTATAATGATATACTGCAGGCGTTTTGGTAAATAATTGTAACAGTTAACACTCACTGTTTAAACTCTTTCAAAATAGCTTTGTGTAACGCATTACATAAATCCTCAATAGAATGATGATTCGTTGATAAGATAACGGGTGCTGAATAATCAGGTAGTTGACCTTTGGGCTTGGTATAGCTAAAAATTTAGGCAAAATAGAGTTGATTTAGAGAAAGCAGGTTACTTCATGATATCGCATGGATATTATTGAACGTACATCCTGACGAGTTGTAGGTAATCCCAAACTTTTTCTAATAGTTCGTCAAAATTCCACTTATGGTGAGCTGATATCGGAACACAATGAGGAATACTTGCAAGAACGTCCAATTCCTATAATTTAATACAGGAGATAGTTAGCATCAAACAATACGCTACAACTATGGAATCTTTCACATAAGATTTCAGCACTGAATTGACTTACTTCAATGGATATTTGATCAATTTTATTAAGAACGTAAATACAAGGTATATATGATCTGTAGAAATATAAATATTTTAACATCAAGCCTACAAGCTCAATTTCTCTAGCAAGTCATGCAATAATGATCCTATGTAAGCCTACCTATTGCCTTCAACGATATCGATTAAATCGTCAGCTGTAGCATCGCAGCGTAATGTAATATCAGCATTAGGTATTCTGTATTCGGCCAAAATTGCCCTAACTGTATCCAGGTCTAAATGGGACTGAATACACTACCAATAACCAACAGAAATTGTAATCAAATTAATTGTCCAAGATGTAACACGTTTAACTGTTAAGAAATCGCTTTCAATATGAGGGTGTTTCACAGTACTATATCACAATTTTGGGACTTTGTATCTTTTCGTGCAATGCTGTATACCACAATGCAACATGGAACGAGTAAAATATTAATTACAAAGACTTACAGTCGAGGTTAAATTAATTCCACCCTTATCTTTCTTTCGGAAAGAGATATTGGGCAAGGTCTTATTAAGCCTAATTCCAAAACCTTCTAACTCCTTTTCTATGATTCTTTTATGCTGGAGAGGCTTCAGTACGTCCAGTACAATCAAAATCAGACTACATGTTCTAGCAACTACAGTAAAGATCAAGATCATCACAGTCTTTTATTTTAATTGAAATATTTTTGGTGTGATAGGAATCATCAGTATGTATCAGACACATATCATTACTATCTTAATACAGTGTAAATATATAGGTGTACCAGCAATAACTTGTCTTCCTCTGCCTTTTCCATCCTTAGCACCTTCGATAATCCCAGGTAAATCTAATAACTATGCATCATAATTGTTTCATCAGTTCACTGCATTCTTCATTACTTGAAAATAACAAAGTCGAAACCTGGTTACGTCTACTCAACTTAAACTACACGTGTATTCTCGTTCCAACAGAGCATGTTTATAGGGTTTTATAAAGAGATACTACCGATTTACAATATAAACATTTATAAAAGACAAATCTTTAATGTTACTAGGAAAACTATGTTGGTTTCTAACCTGTACTTTAGCACCCTTGTATCGAATGACCGCTACAGAAAGAAAAGGTAGCAATCAATGGTACTACTAACATAAAATCATTCATTTTCATTTAATCCAATAATTTAAATACTTAATTTACTTACCAGGGACAGTAGTTAATGTGGTAAATTCATAAGCTGCCACTTCAGAGTAGACGCCTGACAAATTAGATAATAAAGTGGACTTGCCAACTGATGGAAATCCTACCAAGAAAAAGTAATCAGAGTGTCAATTTCATTGTCAATTCTCACCATAGCTAGCAGTCTAGAATATCCGATATTTCTTATTTTATTTCAAGACTGTAGGTGTAGAAATAATATAGCTGCACATGTCCATTAGTTTAGTTTCGATAGAAATTTTGGACATTAAATGTTAACTTCAACGCACCAACAAAGCCGATTCGAGCATCGCCAGTTTTAGCTACGTCAAACCCTAATCACATTCAACAAAAATGCAACACGTTAGAACGTATTAAGGAAAGAGTGTACCAAAATAAAATACTGATATAATGAATTAATTCACTAGATTTATAAATCGGTTATTGATTTCGACCTTCCCCTGCTGGTCCGCCGCCACCTTTAGGCGTGAGTAACTCTTGTCGTAATTTCGCCAGTCGAGCTTTTAGCACACCAAGATGATGTGCTGTCGCTTTGTTGCGCTGAGTTCGGGCCATCTAAAGCGTACAAAATAACTCGATTAAAATCTCAGGCAAACAAGACAACAAAAGGGACGAAATCTTCAATTGCGCGTATTGGATTTAATTATTACACACTACGTCTCATTTTTTAATTAAGAGGCTTATTACAAGTCATGACATTTGATCAATTTAGTAGCACAGTAGTGAGTGAGCACGAACTCTATTTGCGCTGGCAAACTAGGCAATCGTGTAACGCAAGACACAGCATGACAAAATGAAGTTTTGAAGGGTACAGTAAAGTATTACAATTATTAATAGCTGTTTTTGAATTAGCACGTTCTATTTCCAAGATTTTATTTATCATTTACCTCGGCTTCAATATCGGCAATTCTTTCCAAAATACCCATGATGTGTTCAAATCAAAGATACAAAATATACGCCTGGGAAGTGAGTGACCAGGATTGAAGAAATGTCTCCTCAATTGTTCTTCAAGGCATGGACCTCTCGAACCAATACGGCAAAATCGTCAAGGTTGCTGGTCAGTCCCGAGATTCCATGCTGGTCCAGTCCAGTCTAGTCCGTCAAGTCCGTCCAATCCAGTCCAGTGAACTCGAAATTGTACTGTACACTGTAGAATTTGTATTGTACAGTACTGTACTGTACAGTACAGTACAGTACCGTACAGTATACTGTACTGTACAGTATGTACTGTACACTGTATAGTACAGACTGTAGTTCTGGCGGGATAAGCTTGATTCGCACTCCTGCTCCACAGTACGTACACTGTAGTTAACTGTACTGTACACTGTACGGTATACTGTAGTACTGTACTGTACTGTATGCAGCCACAACATGCTCAGACTCGTACGATGGAGATTATAATGTACTAGTACTAGTAAGTACTATGAACAATAATAATAATAATATATTGGATAGCGCGTAAATAAATAGTAGTAACAGAGCTCGAGCCCGAACTTACTCGTAGCTGCAAGACGAAGGTAAAACGAGTACTTCATCGAGGAGACTCAGCAAAGTCGTAATAATTATTACAAGCTCTTAGCTGTTAACTTATTACGCTTTGAATGATCACTATGTCCAGCTCAGACAGGCCAAAGTTAAGAGAACATCAAGTTGAAGGGGTTAAATGGATCAACAAACGCTTTCTAGATGGTCATGGATGCATCTTAGGTGACGAAATGGGATTAGGCAAAACAGCTCAGGTAGTAATGTTGAATGTTTGCAATCCAAAGTAGTGCGCGTATGCATAAATTAACTGCAATATACCATTTCAGTTTTATAGCTTTCTCTCTGTCGTTGAATTCCAGAGTATTCATTTATTTATTTTTTATAACCAATATTCTGATTTAATATTTCTTTTTTGAATGTTCTAATTGCAGTATTACCTTGTGCATGTTAGCTTATATTATTGTATACGGTTTGCAAAGTGTGTATTAGAGTAGAAACGTACAATATAAGTGGATATGTCAGAAATATGCTCTCAGTCATCTTTAGCTGATGTTGCAGGCAGCTTGCAGCTCAACAGATTTATACAGCAATTGTCATTATCATAATTAACTAATCAATCAAAATTACAAAACGAGATTATTTCCTTGCAGTTATTTTATACAATGTAACTATGTGTAATAATAATTAGAAATGCTCCTAACTATCTTCAGAACTATTACGCGTACTATGCAGCTAGTAGATACTCGTATTATTGTTTTCTGTAAAACCTGTAAGCTACTTTTGCGATCGAAAGAAGTATACACATTGCTATTTGTTACCATATTTATTTGCCCGGCATGCTTCGCTCTACAGATTATTACTTAGTGTTCACTCATAGTATGTGAAAACCAAAGGCGCTATTACTCCTCACCCGCAAAATGCAGTCGTCGATGGTATTCCCACTTTCCATTTCCAAAAATAGTAATGCCAATCTGCTGTAATGGTTGATACAACACTAAAAGTAATAGTAATAGTACAGTACAGCACAGTAATCTACTGTAATATCATTAATGGACTTGCATTAATAGCTTAATAGCTACCGTCACAATTATTATTAGCGATAAAGTAAGTACTCTACAATACGCTTACACTACATGTCGTATAGAATGGCAAGGATACAATGAACATCTCACATACAGTCATGGACCTCATAGTAGCAGGAAGAGTTGCTTATTTATTCAGTTAGGTAGCAATTGACATATCTTACCAGATGTATCTACGCTATTCAATTTGCAGATTTGCGAGAAGCATATAGATCTGTTAATTAATCGATATACTGTAAATCGATATTTTAATTCACTTATCATAGGCCATTGAATTACTGAATTGCATCCAACAAAGCAATGCAGATCGAAAATGTCAGTTCCTAATATTAAGTCCCTTATCGGTCTTGAACAATTGGCAAGTTGAATTAACTAGGTTCGGACCAAGTCTGACTGGGATAGTTTATGCTGGCTCGAAAGAAGATCGTGAACAGTTACGAACAAACATTGTAGCTGATATGAAAACACTAGTACGCTACTTTATGATGCTGATACTTATTCTAAATTTACTGCTTGATTTATCTACGTAATACAAGTACAACTGCTATACCATGAGGGCAAATAGCCATCACAACAATGTCATTGATGGAGTTGCGCATGAAAATATTCATTTGCTTCAATCTATGATTGATATATTCTCTTAGGGGCAGCTACCGTACCATGTCTTAATGACTACCTACGAGGTGAGATTGCATTAGTCTGAGCGATATCTAGTTACAAATAGAATTTAAAATTTTAATTATGATACAGAACATTAAACTTACACTTCTAAAAGTTGATATTTCATTTTACTAATAATTTTAACGATTAAGTACGAATATTCTTAAAACGCGTACCGGACATCAATTAACTCATACTTGCTTTAACAGATATGCATGAAGGATGCTGTATTCTTAGAAGAGTAAGTTATAGTTATCTACGTATCATTCTAATTTTCCGTTAAAGATTTCTCTTTCCAATGTAGCGCACACTAAATTAAGTATATCATTGCATCTTTCACATATCATTACTTGTCATTTCAATTTCACCAGAAATGTATTAAAGAGTTTGGAAAATTAGATAATTCAAAGTAAATTCCTTTTATATTAATGATTAGATTTAAGTGGAAAGTCCTGATTGTTGATGAAGCTCAGAGATTAAAAAATTCAAATTCGATGTTGTACCAAATACTCAAGCAGTTTCGTATTCAGTTTTCATTGCTCCTAACTGGTACTCCAGTTCAAAATAATCTTAATGAGGTATCTGTAGTACATGATGCGCTGTACTGTAGTTTGCAAGTGTTAGTATTGTTTTATTTATAACTTCGGTAAAAATACTTACGAAGGCCCATTTATTATCTTAGTTGTACTCGCTGTTATCATTCATTGAACCTAAGAAATTTAGATTGGAAGATGCTGAATATTTTATAGATAAATATGCTACCATCACTGAAATGACTGGTAAGTTAAGCTACACATCATATATTATTAGAGTACGTAACACAACCACGTCATATTTGCAATAACTTCAAACCATGAGAAAAATATTTATATTGTAGGTTCTTCTCTTAATGATAAGCTTCGATCGATAATAAAGCCATATATTCTTCGAAGAGTGAAGAAGGGGGTATAGATATATAAAGAGAGCCGTGATCTTTAATAGATGTATTTTATATTGAAAGATAATCACTTTAATAAGACATAATTTCACAATGTCGAAATGAATTATTTTTTATCCCATTTTATTAACTTAGGTTTTGCTTGACTTGCCATTGAAATCAGAGGTTGGTTACTTGTTGGTCGTTTTACTAAGTTTTACATATTATAACTGATGATGAGCTCTACACTAAATTTGTTCTGCTCTATTAATTATAAGATGACAGTAGACTGTGGCTTATCACATCTCCAGAGGAAACTATATAAAGCTTTACTACAACGTAATATTGGTGAGTTTTCAATAAAACTAACCATGGCTTCAGTTCAAGCTAATCTTAAAATTCTTATTATGTTTACCTTACTATGTTAGAATCGCTTACAAATGAAGCATCCAAAACCAGCTTAATGAATATGTTAATACAACTACGAAAATGTGTTAATCATCCCTATTTGTTTAATGGTACTGTATCGTATTGTATTATAAAAAGTATAATTGCTGGTTTTATCTCCGAATATACATGTAGCCATTGCTTCGTTGGTAATTAAATAAATGTAAGTTATTTCCGTCAGGTATTGAACCAGAGCCGTTCGAAATTGGGGATCACCTAATCAATGCAAGCGGTAAGACCTTAAAGTTTTACTTATAAACTACCTAAATTGACGGAAACAATATTTTGATACTATGGCATTCTTCTTTGTACAGGAAAACTTTTTCTTCTAGATAAATTACTGCCTTACTTAAAATCAAGGTATTGTTAGTTATGTAATCATCCACAGTATAAGCTACTCGTTGTTATAAAATTTTGATGTATCGATAATATTTCATATCGATCTGCCTTCTCTAGAAGTGCTTAATTGCTGCTTTGATGAAAGGGTATGTCCTTTTAAAGTTCCTTTTCGGGCTACTTTTTTGCTGTCATAAAAATTTAAATGTGAAAATTACATGCACTACTGTAGATACAATACCAAATAATCTTTATTTTTTCGGTATAGCTGCATATGAGAAATACATTCTAATGATTACATAGTTACAAAAGCAGTCTATCGTATTTGCCGAAGAACTACTACAATCGTAATAGACACATTTTATATGTTAAATTTCGTGTCATGAACATTGCAACGTTAACTGTTTTGCATTTGTGAATTATCCCTTAGAGGACATAAAGTACTTATATTTTCTCAAATGACGCGAATGCTAGATATCCTTCAGGATTACCTAAGCTATAAAGGTAAAAATCAATAATAAATACTTTTTGTGCCATAGTAGCAGTAATAATTGCTGCATGTCGTAAAGTAACTTGAACATCGAACTGTTGCTTTATCGTAGACTACAATTATGAGAGACTTGATGGATCAGTTCGCGGTGAAGAGCGTTATTTGGCTATTCAAAACTTTACGGATCCGGACGTATTCGTGTTCATCTTAAGTACTAAAGCTGGTAAAGTATTCAAAAATTGTTTTCAGGTTGGCCACACTTCAACACTTGCTAATAGTAACTTGATTTTACACAGGTGGCGTAGGACTAAATTTGGTTGCTGCAGACACCGTTATTTTCTTTGATAGCGATTTTAATCCACAGAATGATATTCAAGCCGCTGCTAGATGTCATCGAATTGGGCAAACTAAGTTAGTAAATAATGTTATCGCGTAATAATTGTTACTGCTACTTTTTTTCTAAGGCAGTTCTTACACGAACGTGATTGTTAGACCGGTGAAAATTATCCGCTTTGTAGCCCAAAGTACTGTAGAGGAAATCATTCTTAAGCGGGCTGAAGCAAAGCTCAAACTAACAGACGCTGTAATAGAAGGTGGCCATGTAAGTTATAGCCTTGCTATTTTAAATTCTTTATCAACGTGCTAGGCTCGATACGATAAATTTATCTTTCGTAATTTTTCTAATCCAGCCTTCCAGCCATTCCGCTGAAGATGATATGTTTAAAAGAACAAACGTAAGCGATGCCTTTAATTTAGTTGCGCATTCCTATGGTCTAGCCTGTTCCTTATCGGACAGTAATTCGAATCAGTATTTCTGTATTTCAGTTATTGAGCATTATTAAGTTTGGCTTAAGTAAAATTTTGGAGTCGGAAGACAGGTTCGCTTGAATAATGATCCCATCTACTGTATCAAGCAAGAGATTTACGTGCAGATGAAGAATCTAACTAGTTTCTATGAAATTTTTTTATCTAGTACAATTGAAGATCAAGATATTGAAAGGTTCCACTAACATTAATACACAAATTTGTAATATTAATGTATATTTCATAATTGGAATGAATAACTTTGCATCTGCTGCATCTCCTTCAAGTTTAATTGGAAGTAGTGTAGACAGCAAATGGGTAGTGAAGGATTCAGATAATGAAACAAAGGTGGAATTCATCGCTGAAACACAAAGTTTACTAGAAGGTAAAATCAAAAATTATCTACGAAGATATTGTTACAATGTATGGATAATCATTACTTTACTATACATAGATGAAAAGCCACCAGAAAGTATGTACCATTACGAAGGTCATGATTATTCTAAAGAGCCTAGCCAAGCTGATATCTCGGCTTTTGACAGTGTACTAGTGAAAGGTATCGTATAAAGAGATATTGTAAGAATAAATAGTAATAATATGTACGAATTTATATTAGTAATATATTTTTAACCGTTAATCCCAACAGTTATAATAGTACGGTAATAACTATCCCTGTGTAGAATCATAATTCGTTTTTTTTTGCCGTATTTCATAATTACAGCTGATGAGCTTCATAGAACTTTAAGAAGTAATAAAGGGGTGCGAGCAATGCCGAGTATCATCAATTTTTCTTTACGCTTTTACATTTTCTGTACCAAAAAGTAAAACGACTGAGAATAGGCCTTAAGCTTATATAAATACGTATTTTCCATTAATATTGTTTTAATTAGGTAACTGTTAGCGAATTGCCTACCGCTACAAGAAAACGTAAGCCATTAACTGAAGAACAGCTAGAGGAGAGGCGTAGAAAAGTAAGATTATCTTGGCTTTAGTTACATTATTATTCAGCCTTTTATTTCTGTATGCTAAGAGTTATATATGACTGTAGATAGTATATTTTATCCGTATATTTTATCCGTAGATATCTTATTAGCTAATAGACTAACGTTATACAGAGGATAGAATCAGCTGCAAAGAAAGCAAAGTTACAAGAAGAGCAACGCATCAAAAGAGAAAAGAAAATGCGCGAAAAACTTGAAGAAACATGGCGGAGTAAAGGATATACATCTCTTAACTTACCTCTTGATAGTGAAGGCGAATCGGATACAGATGAAGAAGAAAATATGGAAGAAGATTGCTTATCAGCTGATACGCAAGATATTAAATATGTTTCCGGAGATGTAGCTATGCCAAAAACTCAAGATGGTGACTCAATCGTTGTCCATTGCGTTGGTAATTCTACAATAACCTGCCTACTCTTTAATTTGTCGCATGTTAATAATATTTTTTTGTCAATCATGACTACTTGAAAAACTAGATGATAGTGGGCGTTGGGGTAAAGGTGGAGTATTCTCAGCGTTAAGTACTCGATCAGCTCAACCCGAACAGTTATACTTATTGGCTGGTAAAATGAAAGGTTAAGAATTATGCTGTGATACTATTAGTGCTTCTTTGTTATCAATTACACTGCTTTATTGTTATTTACTATGTTAGATTTGACGCTTGGGGATGCGCACTTAATTGCAATTGATGATAGATTTAGTAGAGATAATGGAAATGATTATGTAAGTGAAGTTCTAAAGTTTCTGTCTTCTTGATAGTATTATGCTTAAAATTATGACTGCAATTAATATATTTGTGGCCATACTCTTTAGAATTTTTGTGGAGAAACTGATATGGATACAATCCTTGCAACCTTTGCTAAATGACCCGAATTTTTAATGTATCTTACAAATAGGTAGCCGTCATTGTTGCACAGAAGCGAGATAGACAAAATCAACTTTCTCCTATCCACTTAACAGCATTAAGTACTGGGTTCGAACGTGTTGCTACGTATGCTAAACGAACTAATGGTAGGATAAATAATTTGGTTCCGAAAGTACCAGTTTATGTAAACCTGTTGATAAGTTATCCTATTGACTTTATGTAGCGACCGTTCACCTTCCAAGAATTGGCTACGCGACACCAAAATTTAATTGGTACGGAACTGAACGTCTGATTAGAAAGCATTTAACAGCGAGGGGAATACCAACTTTTATGTATCCAATTTTTCTTACTCTACTGTGCCATATGAGCTTTAAATTCTACTCATAACACTAGCTAATAATGTTAAATAAATTACTAATGGTATCTTTCCTTAGCGTAAGTACATAGTTACTATTATTCTAGAAAGTCTAGTAAAGCCTCCGCTATACAATACGTACGAAGTCCTAACAAACCATACGAATCTGAGGCCAGTTGCAGTAAAGAAGAACTAGATTGTAGTACAATTGAAGAAAGTGAGTATGTTGAAATGTTTCTTTGCTATTCGTTTAAATTTATCCTGGTGCTAGTGATGGTATGTCTTAAAGTAAAGTATTAAATTAATCGATCGTGAGTTATTTAAGGTCTGTAACTGTTAGGCTGATATATTAAAGTTCTTTTGTCCGAAGTGCATGATAATTAACGGTGACTATTTGCTGCTGTAAAGATGTACAGATACGAGATGAAATTTGCTTCTAGTAACGTATGATGCTTATCGCATCGAATCTTGCTATTATGCTACATTTTTATGTTAAGATAACTGGTGTACGAGTATACTAATATCGATGCTTTATCTACTACTTCAGAGAGCAAAAATGAAACTAGTGATTTCGTAACTGAAGAACGTAAGTCTGTTAAAAAAATTATACTATAACAGTAAAGTCGTAATATTACGTCAATTTTTTAGAAATTACTGTAATATTAGGCAAGTCCTATATCTTAACAACGAGACATAATTTAATGACTACGGCATATTTTAAGAGATTTCTGAGCGGGAAACAAACTTAGCATCTGATCCCTTTAACAGATTTTCACAGAACTAATTGTTATTTCATTTTATTTTATGTTGTAAAGATATTATAGAGGATGATTTGCTTCCTAGTTTCTTTCGAGATTACATTTTTTACATTGGTTTACTTGCTGATGATGTGAAGCAGGAGCTTAAACGATATATTATCGCCTACGACGGGGATATATCATCACGGTTGAATGAGAATGTGACACATATAGTATGTAGTAATCATCTACAACCTGAGGTAATACTCAAATTATTATTAGTAACTATTGCAGTAATGTCCTTCAAGTATAAAATCAACCAGTCTGTGTGTGTGAAATGAACCAGTCACTAACGTAACATTTTTATGTATTAAAAGGAAATATCACAATTAAAAGTAGACAATCCGCAAGCATCTGTATCGAAAGAAACTGATTTCAGAGAATATATTAGAAGCTTAACCACGAAAATTTAATTATTTCTAATGGTTAATTGTTAATGAAATGTGGGATATCCAATTGTAGATGAAATTTCGATTAGGCAGTACTGCAGGATGGTGCATGTAAGAAATATGGTAGCATAAATAGTGATAGATTTTCTGGGAAATGTAATACTATAAGCTCATTTCTATATCCTCAAGGCAGACGAAAAAATGATTGTACGACAAAACTATAGAAATGTAAAACCAGAAAAACAATGTTTAAATCTCCTCCTATTGAAGGAATTAGCGATTGAGTAAATTTTGAGAAAAATGTATAAAGCTTCTTATTCACTTTTAGCCTGTTAGATATTTCTTATAAGATGCCAAACTAAGATAATTGAAGTATTTTATTATAATTAAGCTATTTCTTGTTACGTTTTACATATTTAAAAATTAAAAGATCGGAATTTAATATTATAAGAACAACAAATGTGTTAGATATTTTTGTTGTTACTGGTAGGTAGAGACAGATGCTGTTAATACCACAATTGCCGACATTATTGATAAACAATAAAGCCTAACAAGTAATATGCAGTTTTATGCTGGCGTTATTAATAAAAATAAGTGAATCGTAAATTGAGATTTTCAACCAAATAAAGATATATAGTCAATCGCGGTATATAGCCATACATAAGCGTCAACAAATTATGAGATAGCTCGATTCATGAATTTACTGACACATGGTGTAAAATAATTAGGATTACATATGATTGTAACCATATTCTCATCTGCTATTTCCTACATTAGTCGACGATATTTACAGTCAACGCGATTGGCAGCAGATAATAGCCTAGTTTGTTTTCCTATTCATTTCATTACTACTTTTAATCACGGTTTAAAGATACAAAAAAGTGTGTCTTACATCTACACCGACTTAAAATTTACTATAAAATCTTGTTGATAAACTAGATAACACAATACAAAATAGATTTTTAGCTAAAGAATTTCCCTATCGTTTCATAGTATTTCAGTTACAGTTTATCAATGCGAAATAAAATTGAATCCAATTTATTATTATAAAATCACTAAAATATTTTAACAGAAATTACGTAAACCAAGTTGGACAATCCTGGTTATAGTTATAATCATTCCCCTTATGCTGTAAATAGCAATCGACAAGGAGGAATATTACATACTTGATTGTACTAGATAATATTAAAAATGTGTATAAAATTATATAGTTTACGATAATAAAAATCAATTCGCTCTCAATTTCGAGGCAACTTCTTGTAAGATCAAATTCAACTAAGAGTATAACACATAATTCAATACATATTTTTTCATATGAATCATCGGCTAAGTAGCCTGAAACAAAATGACTCGATTGCAGCTGACGGAATCAACAAAATTTATCAGAGGAACTGACGAGATTGATCCAAAAATCTCGATAATTATTAACTGAATTTGATTAATCCCTTTTCAAAAGTACGGATCACTAATGTCAGTAATACTTTGTCCATGTAAGTTATTTTCCCAACTAGATAGTTGGAATATAAAATGCCTATTAGGACGAATGTAATGGTGACATTGTTTGACGTAATTGTAGGCATCCTAATTAAGAATAAACATTAGACTGAATTAATTACATATATTTCTACAATATTTTACGTGCATATCAATAAATCAAGAATAAATTTGCTATAATGCCTGAATGCAAATAATATTAACGATTATCATAATTGAATTCAGGGATAGATGATTTACCTTTAAAGTAACATGATCGCGATACATTAGATAGGCAAGAGCTAAAGTAATAGATCGGCTTATTCCGTTCTCCGAATAAACTAAAATGCGGTGATTTTGTTGTTCGTGTTTCTCTACATAGATAGACAGAAAAATTAAAATTAATGATGCGGATATAAGTTTTCATAAGATTAAACGTTCGATACTTTTGTTACAGTAATCAACAATCGGATGCATAGAGCGCCTTTAACGGAAGTTATCGTTACCGTTCTGAATAGAGCTACTGCCATTGTCTATTGTAATATACCTAGTTTTCAAACTTAATCTACGAATCATTTAGCTAAGAGTGAAGAGTGATATACTAACTAAGAACGTCTGAATAATGCACACAGACATTTATCATTTTAATTTCACAAATGCGTGTATGCTTTCAGTATAGAAGCTGGAGATCGAAGCTACACTAGTAAAAGCAACCAGCGACTTCTAAGGAATTTAATCTTAGAAGTTCCTACAGTAACAGTATTGTAATGTGCAGTAGCGATGATGACATAGATTTGTAATCATTCGCCTTATTAGTAAACCAATTAAATTGAGGAGATCGATACTCATATTCTGCAGTAGATAAAACGAAAGTAAAACATATTTGAGGGAGCATAAGAATATAAAGCGATCTAATCCTTAAAATATATATATATATTATATGTAATAGAAAGTCATTCGCTTGACATATTTATTAAAGTTCGATTACGTTAGGAAATTGTTATTTTTATCCTACCGGACTTATTAAAGCAGAATCCTTACCAATAAATTTGCAAACAGATTCTAAGTGAGAAAGAATATCTCCTTCGACGCTGTCCGTTACATCACTCAAGTTTAGGACATCCATGCGAAGGCTCCAGCTGCAAATAATTACAAGCAGTAACTTTATTGGTATATACATGATAAGTTGTACCGTAGTAATTATGTTTTATCATTCTTGACGATTTCATCTGGTAGATTTTCTATTTTTTTAATCAAGCTAGATAGGCTCATAACTGGGAAAGCATTCATTTACTCCAAAAGTTGTGCATGGGATCCGTAGAAACTTAATGCACAAATAAGATCATCAGATTAATATTGAAATTGTATATCTACAATTATAAATATTAATGATGTCACTTTTACGAACATATAGGTACCATCTCCTTGACCAAGAGTCAAGATATATAGATATTTTTGCCTCAAGCCTCAAACTATGAAGGATAATGTTGACCTCTCAAAATTTTAATCTGATGCTCTAAGAATGCTAACAGGTTGAGACCATACAAAACTCGTAATTATCTAATATAACCCCACGGAAAATAATAACCTAATCCTTTATCATTAACGCTGTCAAGATTAATTTCGTACCTATGTTACATTTCATTGTTACTATTAGATTCATATAAATTATCATTCTTTTACCATCTCAAGAAGTACTTGAATAAACCAATACTTGAATATTCGTTTCTGTTTCTAAAGAGACACTGAAGTTTCTCATCTACCGATAATCGATGATGAGCTAGAAATCAAAATTTTAACAGTAATAGTTTACGAAATGATTGGCTCAGTGATTCTTCTCGCCAGGATGTTAGCATATGGCTGTGAGCGGGTATCAACTTGACAAGTATATTAAATTACCTTAGCACCTTCTCCGTATAGGTCTTTTCGCTTAGACTCTTGCATGCAAAAATGGATTATTGCCTATTTAATATGATACGCTAATTTATCTAGGTACTATCTTTTGTAATCCCTCTTCTTCAGATATTTAATTAAGCGTACAATCGAATTCAGATCTACTTAATATGATAACCTAATCTATCTAGGTAATATCTTTTTGTAATTCTTCCTGATTAAGTATTTACGAGTACAAGTGGTAATAGAGATGAATATCTACAGTACTTGGGAAAATGTTCCGTCTAGGTACGATACCATCACTTTTAATCCTTCTTGTTTGATACAAGTAATTACATGTAAGAAATAGATCAAGGCCTACTAAAACGGCATATTAACCTACCTTATCTCTGTTTTATCTCTTTGCAATCCTTTTCCTTCGAATACTACATCTAAATTGGATTACAGCCTACTTGATGTACTGTACTATTTATTATATCAGTTTCTATTAATAAATCATCTTTACTGAGGTAATCGCTCGTGAGAATTTGTTATGGTCAACCTTGAAGTACTAATCCTAACTTCACCCTATTTATTTCTAGAGAAAGGAATGATGACTAAAATTCATTGTACTTAACATAGTGTAATAGCCGACCTTGATGAAACCTAGGCGTTATAAGTTAAGTTATAATTTAACACTTGCTAACAGTTCTCGATTTGATAATTAAGTACCCCGGGATAGAGGTCATTGTTTCTAAGAGTATTATATGATGTTAAGCCGCTTTTATAGTCGTATCTTTGCTATTTCACCACTTTGAGTAATTAATTATACTGTATAGGGAAGTCGATAAAGGTCTACATAGTACGCTAGCTATTTCTGTCAGACTGGAAAAACATTGAGTACAACATGAAGATCATTTAAAGCACATATGCACTTACTCTCTATCTTCATTATCAGACGACGCATTAATATGCGCTTCGATTTTCAATTCCACTTGTATATGACGTGTCATAGCTTGCTTTCGCTTACCAACGTAGAGAAACTGTGGGATAATTTCTATGGGATAAATTGGCATGGCATCCAGCTCCTAATATCATAAAAATTGACATAACTGATATTAACCCTAATACTAACCCTAACTCAAAATAATCGTTCGTTTGATCATTACAATAGGTTAAAACATTGTATCTAAAAGTCACACTTACCCTAGGCATATAAATAACCTTCTGTGTTCTTAAAAATGGGTAAATAGCAGAAAATAATTCATAACCACCTAAAAAACATTTATTCAGTAAAGTGGACTACATTATCAATGAGTATCTTAATTAATTAAAGATAAAATTTCTACGTAAGAAATCAAAAATATGCAAGAATTCGCAAGACAATATCGACGAACTTACCGTTCAAAACTTTCACTGGAAATTTGCTCCCATTATCCCACAACTTCTGAGCACATCGAACAGCAGGATCTATTATATTTATTAATTATTTATAGAGATATTATGATCCAATTTACTAAACGTATTAAAGACTGTGATGCATGGCGATAAATGATAGTATTTGTAAAAAAATATTGATTCAATTGTATGAAACTCAATAATTATGATAATTCTACGAAAAGAAGCTACAGTCGTCTATATACATATATCGTACATTTCACCATTAAAGTATTACGGCATATTTTGACTTCTATCGAAGTATAATCGAAATAGCATATTATCGATCCACTCTAAATTAGCTGAAAATTTGAGAGCAGTCAATGCATGTACGCGTATGATATGATGTGTGTAAGATGCGCTTATCAATTTAGACCTTAAGCTAGCACCTTTCTAGTATCCAGAAATAACCACTGATTGAACTATAATTGATATTATTTAATAGTTTAGCAGCCTAAGATTCTATTCGAAATCATAAATGGGGTACTTTAAGTTAAAATAAAAGTCGCACTATCCGAAATTGTAACTATGATTACCATGTTTAATAAGTATGAGTTTCAAATATACTTGCTATTTTTAATAATATTCAGAATGTTGTAATTTGAAAGATATTACAATTAATACTAAACACCATTACTGTATATATTATGGAACGATGAGAAATAAAATAAATTTAAAAAAAACGTAGAAATGTAATGCATATTAAATAAATAAACTCATAGTTTCTCCTAAATAATGGAGAGAAATTAATGTATTATAAATGATTAGCACACATACAAAGTACATATAAGCTTACTGGTCATCGACAGATCTTTACTGTTGTTATCATAAACAATGCAGTAATGTTTTGTTTCTAATTCTGCGTCATACGGTATTAGGGTTTCATCGTTTTCATCCTGTATAAGAAAGCAAAAAGTAAATCGGAAAAGAAATTAGATCTATCGAACTAGATTGATATATTGAGATTTTACTATATTGAATTGTGCTTAACATGATAAACAATTCGATCGAAATCTATCTAATATTAAGGTAATTATAAAGTAAAAGATCTTGGATACTAAAGTTATCTGTCGTGCCTTATCTCCCAAAATCAATTGTACTATAATTCATTACATTGTATGTGCATGATAATACCCATGCTTTCTGGACGAACAACGATAAAATAATCTTTCAGGAAGGTTTTACCGTCTCTAATATAAGTTTTACTATACTCTGAATTGAAGTATAGTCGTTGTATATGTTTGCGTACTATAAAGTGATTAACAGCATAAATCATACACGTTACAACTTAAAATAACACGTAATATCTAATGGAATGTTAGTATAAATTATGCAATATTTTGAGAGCTTCATGACTTGGCTACGTGGAATTGTAAATTTTAAAGCTTAAGATTGATGTATGATAATCAGACCATACTAAGCAAGTCTAAGTACAATATTTAGAGATAAATCGATAAATTAATGGTATTGCCGTTACATTAGTTTAAAAGACGTGAATGAGATAATTAACTTGGTAAATTTTCCCTGATAAAAGGGTAAACCAATGGCTTTTTATGAAGTATGTTAGAGACGTGTATGCCGTTATTTAATATCGAATCCAACGTTGATATTCTACTGTAGATGTATTAAAATTTTAGCTATAGTTCATAAAGCTACTGCAACATTTCTATTAACTCTATCAGTATTGTAATGAACAATATCAATACTAAATGTCGACTACTACATGCAATCTTAACATTGACGGAAACAATCTCTCAAATCAACACTTTAAAAAAGTGTATTACACTCATCCTGTAGTTTAGGTTATTAGAGTCTGTATCAATTTAACAAAGCGAGTTCCTTCTACAAATATAAGAAAATAAATACTACTAGCGATGTTAAAATACTATGGAAAGATAATTTCGTTCTTCAAATCAAGAAACATCTTTCTTTGATTAGAGCAAAGTATCAAAAAGATTGTGATCTTTGTATGACTTTGTAATATGAAGGGCGTATAATAATTTTAGAACGCTCTAATCTACAATAGTGAATAAGTAATGAATGGCCATAAATTTATAAAGTAGGCAAATAACATCCAAACTTGACAGGTTAGATTAACAGAGAAATTTTACTAGCTGACTTTTTTCGATTATAATCAATTATAATGTTATCTGCGATAATTAATTAGAAATTAATCATTACTTTAAGTTGCTAGTTAAAACGTTAATTATAACATGGAAAGACGTGTAAAAGGCATTTAAATTGGTATATAGAACAGATTTCTAGTTCATGGTTTCAACGCGAATGATTGTCAGTGGCGAGGAAGTTAAACTTTCTATGTGTGTGTAATTGAAGGAATTTCATTTTTAGCTTTTTCCTCTATTCAACTTAGACAATAACTCTCAAAATTCTTAAAGTATTGTCTACAGTATTTAAGAAATCGATCAATATCAAAGTGAACTGTCATAGTCATAGTCATTAAATTTAAGAATATTTATTATTAACTACTATAAAGTATTTCTTTCTTCTCTTTTCCTACTCTCAATTCGAACTTATTTTTCTGAAGGCGAAATCTTAATCTATCTCTTTTTTCCTATATCGAAAGATTTGTTGTACAATTGATATCAACAAAATTCATTCATGTAATCATAATAAGGAAAGCAATCCAGTGTTTAATATTTTCTACCAGCCTTATTATCGGTATATAATAATTAAAATCTAGTTACTTTGTTTCAACATACAGCTTTTTCACTTCATGTAACCATATTCTATAGTGTTTTAAGGTAGCAAACTAAGTGATTTTTAATAATTAGAGCTAAAAAATAGATGTAGTGTGAAGCTCCATTAGAATAAATCTACGTATCAATTTTTTAATCCATCATGGCGGTTGGATTTTAAATATAATTTTAGGGATCTGATATTTAAGTAAGTGATATAGTGTCTAATTTGGACGAATGGCAGATTATCGAAAAACTATTAATGTGTTTCTTCTATAGGTTGTGCGGTAGTAGTGATATGAAAACTTAAAAGTTACAGTATGAGCTTTCTACTCAGGAATTATGTTCATAGTAGGTTTCAACGGGCTTAAAGAAGTCTAATACCAAAACTAAAATGTTACTGAGCTGTGTGTGCCCATTATATTTTATATCATCTGTAGATAAAGATCGTGATTAGAATTATGATATAATAATAAGATAGAGGAAACCTTGACTTTTCTACGTGAACATTAATGGTATCGGTGTATTAAAATAAAATGTGATGACTCTTTCTCTCTTTACTGCACTTTTTTGCGTTACGAACTAGCGTGATTGACTCTGCTATGATGACATGGCAAAGATACTGTACCACTTATAGATATTGTATACAGTTATTAATATTTTATCATCTTTTAAAACAACTCAATATAATAATTCTAGTCTAAAAGATGTGTTGAATAGATAACGAAAAATTCGGGAGATGGAATCGTTGGTCTGATAAATATTGTATGCTTATGATCTGATAGTATGTGCTATAATATATAAACAAATAAAAGTAATGATAGAAATCGTATATAAAATTATAATACCAGCATAGATATATAATAAAAGATTGAATAAGATTATTTAAAACATTCAAGAACTTCTGGAATTTATTCAAATATACTCATAGTCTTACCCGATGAACATATTTTGCGGTAATAATATGGCCAATATCATAATTATTTCTCGATCGAACATCTATGGGATTAAAATGGAAATTTTTATACACGATTCATAGTTGTGATGCATCTTAAAGTTTTTAAGCAATACACACTTATACTATTTCGTAGAAAGTATCCACATGATCATAACATCGATGATTAGCGTATTGAAGTTACGACAACATTATGAACGTACATGTTCAATCGTTAATTTCGTACTTATATCGTAGTGCCTGCTATGAACCTTTCCAACTTAATTTCATTGCTAAGTCTGATCATGCTTGTATATCTCATAGCTTTAACTTATTTATAGATGATGGAAAGTAGACTATGCAATTGTTATAAGCGAACGGCTTTTTTCAGACATGATAATAATGATACTAACCTAGTAATAAGAGATAACTTGGATCGCTGAAACACGAATAAACTGTTGCCTAAAGTTGAGAAATTAGTCATGTTATGACAATTAACTTTATAGAAGTTTAGGATATAGATTTATTACTTCTAGGAGACTATCATACATTTTACAGATCATAAGAGTGCAAAACTCATCAAGGTGTTAAGTTTTGTTAGTACTATCAAAACCCATAGCAAATAATATAAAGATGCAAGTGCTAAATAATTCTTAATTATATTCGCTAATGTAGCCGTGGACCAAGCTTTGATGTAGCATTTACGTACCTGATTTAAGACATTATATAAAAACATCGCATCACACAATTCAATCCCGTCGATATCCATCACTATTTCTAAAAGCAAGCTACAATCTCATATGATTGAAAAAATTGCCAGGTATTGATTATAGCAGATCGCCTAAATTTTTAACTAGATAAATCCACTACGATAAACTTAAGAAGTAAAAACAATTACGTCGAATTACTGTATTAGCATTTACATTACTCATAAAAATATGTGCTGTATTTTCTTCTAGAGTAAAGCATATAAATACACTTGGACGTTGCCATGGTAGCCAACTCTTCTAGTTTACAGTATTAAACTATTGTCCAGCGCTGTTACAGAAATCTGACTGACCTAGTGCATTATTGTTACAACTGTATGGTACTTCCTACGTAATTGCACATCCTGAAATAAATAGAGGCGTAGAAAAGAATAACTTTTTTGAGTATACGCGTATATCAGTCCAAGCTCATCATGATACTGATACATAATGCTACATCCCATATAGAATGGAGAATACGTTATAAGATCATAGATTTCTGTATTTTACTTAAATTTAAAGCATACTTACGTAGCAGGAATTTTTCACTTAGTCTACTATGGTGCAAGAGTGCAATTTAAAGCAGTGTTCTTTACCACGTTCGTAAATATAAAATGTTGTTATGGCCACAATTTGACAAAGGTACCTACTAGGCTAATAGAATCAGTTCTTAATTTTTAGGTATCGTCGGACTTATTCGAAGATTTTAATTCTTCTCTTACTACGAATTCGAGCATGCTTATACTCACATACTCAATCTATCTGGTAGTTCTTGTATAATACTATTGTGATATATTTATAACTACTAACCGATTCAACGTGTACAGTAACACCGAACGACATAAATTCACTTTTATTCAATTTAGGCTAGAAGATACTTATTGCCTAAAAACGGTGAGACTTTGAAGGAACTTAGGATGCGTCGATGAAACGGAAAAATTTTGTCTAAGATATTAATTTCACTCAGGTTTAACAGATAAAGATACTTTCAGTGTATTATAAAGTAAACTTTCAGAGACTACGCATATGTTACTATCCAGATTGCAATAAACTGAAGTTGATCTCACTGCGATCACTGTGTAATACGTATGGTACTCAGGAATATCTAATCAAAATTGGTACAATGCATTATTCTTGTTACTCCGAGTACTTTCATCTCAAGCCTCTACGAAAGGGCAATATAAATACATTCGTTTACGGTACTAATAGTTTCAGCAGAACATTCATGCTCACTGTAGAGTTTTAAGCGTAATACTACACGTGTAACGAAAAGACTTTTCATTTTTCGAACAGTACATACATAGATCACTAATTAATGACAAAATTCTAACAGCGGATGGAGGATACTGAACTTGAGATAACTTCATATTTGCAAAATTCACTACATAATATGTAGCTGATAAATAGACAGATAAATCCCTCGATCATTTTCAAATTGTAAGCACTCTCTCATCTCCACTGATGTTAATAATATTTAAGTGAAATATAAAAGACTGGAAAATTTGTTTCTATATCAAGTTAAGAATTATAGACTGCAGTTTTAAGGGGACGGGGCCTTCTTCTCATAAGCTTAATCAAATACTAACAACTGGCCGGTTTTGAAACTAATTCAAAGATGTTTATTATACAGCAACCACATTAACGCCTAATACATTTATTCATACACGCAAGACGTAAAAGAAGTAGTTGAAACACAAAATTCATTTGTTTGCAGATACCAATAATTTAGTCCACATTCCATCGAATGAGTGAGTTACTTTACTGGTCATGCTCACTTGCGACTAGAAATAAAGATTTCATATGTTAGACCTTGTCATTATATAAGATACTATACTGTACGTGGCTCATTAATAATCAAAATATCCTTTCCTAACAGGATTAATAGTAGTCCTACACTTACATTTCGAAGTTGGTGAAAGCTTTTTGCCGTTTAACACAGCCGTGCAGTTCATGATTTGTAAGCCAGTCGTACTAATTGTTAATGACTGCCCACGAATAGCTCTACTGTTGTTCTTGATCAGAGTATACAGCTCGTCTAAAGAGAAACGGTCGTTCAACTTTAATCATTTAATTTAATTCGGTATCGAAAATGAATAATTTAAGGATAAATTTAATGCTGTTTGAATTCCTTACGTTTTGCAGCTGCGAGAGATATTTGCGGATGAACATCCTCAAACACTTTGTAGCAACTCGGCTCAGTATCGCACGCTAATTAGTAAATAAATCATTTGAAGTCATTATTACAACCTTATTCATCCTAAAAACTTAATACGTATAAAATACAATCTAGGCACTTTATTAAAACTAAAAAATTGGAATAATAATATGTTTAAGCTTCGCAATGAAACATCGAAGAAAGCGCACGTACATGACAGTGGTTTTCCTGGTTTGCAGCAACTGCAAATATAAGTATGATACGTTAACCTACCACCCTGTAAGTAAGGATCATACATGGCTTCTGCGGCAGAAATTCTTTTTTTCTAGACGAAAATCAATAAATTCAAAGTTTTTAATTGCTGCCATTGATAATACAAAAAGATATTCACACGTGACAGAGATCACAACTTATATGTACCGGATCAAACTTCAGGAGTTTTACTAAGAAATTGAAGGCTTCTTCCGACAAATCAGTGGATACCAAATACATCAAATTGCGCAATTTAGGCTGTATTATTACACAAAAATCAAAACGTGCGATTTTTAATAACAACAATTTATATTAATACAGTTTTTCACTAAGATATATTACAAGGCATCAATAGTTATGGTAGCAATACTAAAACTTACCGATTTCTTGCTACTAAGAACATATTGAACAGCAGCTTGGCATGCTCCACCAAATTCTGACAAGGATGGTGTACCAAGATAATCAGTGATCATGTCCAACTAATAACAGTAAGGATATTAGTATGCAAATACTTTTTTTAAGTTCGTTTCACAAAATATTTTTTTTAATTCTTTTTTGAATAAATGCTGCATAAAAAAAATATACAGTCAACGTACCTGTTTGACAGGTCCTGAAGCTTCAAATAAAACTTTTCCACTAATCATCTCAGCCATAATGCATCCCACTGACCAGATATCAACTACAGTTAAGAAAGGATGTATATTACTGACATTAAGAAATACAATTTAAAAGCAATGATTGTCAAATAACAACATCTGAGTACAGTATTAATAAATAAATGAATATGATACTAAATTCTTAAATTTAGAATCGAGAAGTGTATACGATAAATTACTAACTAAATATTATTAATAAGGTATTAACGTCAATTTTATGTCATTAGAATATGCCTACTATTACTATTGCCATGTAGTAATTATAAGGTGAACGACCAAAAGGACCGTTATCAAGTTGAGCTGTCAAATTTGAGATCGTAATTTACTCAGGTTATTAGTGTATTCTAATTCCAGGATCACATAGCATCAGGAATTTTACAAGACTTACGCTTGCTAGTGTAATGTGGAGATCCGGTCAATATTTCAGGTGCCCTGTAATACTGAGTTACAACCTGTAATGAAAGAAAATTGAGGTATTGTGTAAGTTAATTATAATCTAGTGATAATCCGATATATGGTAAAATAGTTGTATATATATCCATATTTCATTATAACAGTATACCTCTGCTGTCATTTCGCACGATTCATCAAATTCTTGCTTACGGGCGAAGCCGAAATCGCATATTTTGATTTGTAGATTATTGTTGACCAAAATATTGCCTGGTTTAAGATCTCGATGCAAGATGTGTGCTGAGTGCAAATACTTAAGGCCTAAATAATGGATCATTACAAAGAAAATCAGATCTTGAAATAAAAATTCACATAAGCATAAAATTTCGCATTAAATTCAATTCCATACAACTACATAAGTGCGTAAATACTGTAATTGTTACAGACATTCAATTTACAATTCCAAATTGCGAACGAACGTATAGGACAATGCATCCACTCAGGGTATGTTTATTGCTTAATTGCTTGAGGTGTACTTACATATGCAAATACAAGTATATAGTATAAAACACGCTGCATATAACGATTGTACTTGCTCAGTACTAAAATTCTAAGGAACACAGTCTCAACAAGTCAAGCCAATCGTTCGACCATGCATTAAAGTTGACTCAATTTTTGTATCAAGATGAATATTCGAGATCAAATGAACGTTTTGTACTAATGTACAGTACATTGTACACTTATTACACTGTAATGTACAGTATAGTACATACTGTACAGTATTTGCCTAACGAACTATAAATTGTGTTACAGTAATTTAACTTACTAATATACCGTACTAGCGAGAGAGTATTTTAATGAATTGATTTTAAAGTAATATACACATTCAATTTTATCGCACCAGACTGCACCGCTGCGCTTCCTGATGTGACTTTTTTGTTGTCGATTGAATGAATAGACAATACCGTATTACAATTACTATTATTATAATGTACAGTAGGATAAAATACTGGAATTCAGCGAACAGAAGTGACGCAAACATGGTCATTGCCATAGTACCGTACAGTACGTACATATGTATACTAGACCCTTTAGATTTTAAGTACGTGCTGTACCAGCGTATCGTGCAATACTGTACAGTAGTTTACCCTACATTGTACAATCTTGTGACTGTATTAATTGTACTATCACAAGTTTTTCTCTTTCTCACTCTTTAGACTCAAAAACAAAACCAACACTATTTTTTTGAAGCAGACAGTGAAATAGCGTTTAACATTGTTATGACTGACCGGGAAATACGCTATGGTCTTAGAGTAGCATTAGTTCATTTAGTCTCTATTATTGATCTTACGTCATAATGTAGTAACGTAATGCGATTACTAACATTGCCCTGTTATTGTTCAATATCGTCAAAAATAAAACTTAACTAGATGCCTATCAGTACAAAAATTTTGTGTTGTGCTTTGATACGTATCGAAATCTTCTTAAAAAAAACGAAGTAAAAGTCGAAAGCATAATATATACTGCATGTGTATAGTATAAGTAGCAAATACAATTAATTAGTGGTAGTCTGATATTTTCACACGACCAGACTCGATACTATTCCGTGTAGTAACATAGTGACTCTTGCTGTGCCAAATAAATTTCGATAACAATGCCTATAGTAATGTCCTTATTACTCAACCCTACGAACTTTAAAAATAGAGAAAACAAAGGTGCAGTGCCGTACTACAGTATCTTACCTCTTAGGATTTGATAGGTAAACAACTTCACGTATTCGTCTGCAATTCGTGGATTACGAATTATAACATTATGAAGGTCACATTGCATCAAGTCTGTCAGAACGAAACTATTTAATGTAGTCAAGGAGTTGTAATATTATAAAGTGTTAATACAACTTTAAGTTACGTTGACATCGAACATGTATATAGCTATCAAAAAGCAATTACGAACAATAATTATATCATTGGTTAAAGCAATGGATAGACGGCAATACCAGATTCTATGATTAATAAAAGTGGCGTTCTTTATAATAGTTTAAGCAATGTATCCTGTACTAAATTATGGTCTTTAAATGCAAATTTATGGCTAAAGCAGTTACATTCCGAATTGAAAGGAAAAGGATACACATGTCGAAATGGTCCTATTAGTAAAGGGGTCTTGAGCACCTCGATCGCTCCCAGTATCTGTGTACGTAAGACAAGAAACAATCATAAGTACTGAATACTAAACGCGAGACTGTTCTCCAACCCATTATGATGCATTAACGTATATGTCAAATCATTTCTTTTGCGTACAATGGTATACATAACTCCTCCAATGATTAATTGTTAGTAACAGTCATAAGTACAATTTACTATAAAAGATAAAAAAGTTACGAAAGTTAGATCTAACCCGAAACTTACGTTATCATGACGGCAAAAGCACAGTAGCTTAAGTTCACGTAAAGCTCTCTTGATAGCAACATAATCGTCGAAAGCATTGACCAATTTCTTTAAGGCAGCCTTTTTGCCGTTTCTAGGATCGACAACAGACCTATTTTAAAACCAACATCAATTCCTTAGTTTTGCGTATAGCATCATCGTATAGAGATAATTGTGAAAATAGTGTTTCCAAAACTACGTAGCTATTAAAGTACGTCATCACTAAAATTGAAAGTATAACTATTCGAAGCCTATTTTAACGATTTCTGTTATCTAGCCCTATGATGTTGTTAGTAATCGTAATCGACAGAGTCATCATTATCATCGACACGTTACTAACAACACATAAATTTACGATGTACGATGTACGTTCGTCCATGATACGATGATCAGTTGCCAGATTAGATTTTTTTGTATTACAAAGAATACAGCAGATTTTATACTTGTTAGATCAGTTTTTTCATTTTAACAGACGTAAGTTCTTTTACGACTAGTAAGACTGATAAAGTGTAATTGTACGTTTCCAACAAAGAATATTTCGATGGAGCAATTGGTATTTTAAGAAGTCAATATATTAGATATTTCATGATACTGTATAGTTTTGGTGATTTAATAATATAATCAACTACAAATTTTAACGGTTTACCGTAACCTCACTACGATAATCTGTACTACCCGGATTAAATCAATTAAAATCACAAGCCACTACTACAAAGAGACCATTTACATTACTGAGGAACTATTCCCATCACATCCAATTTATTAAGAATAAAGACGGTACAATACTTGCTTCGCTGAAATTGACAGAGGAGGATTGTATATGATATACAAGTATTTTGCCTTTCTGTTTGGAATAAGTATGATAATCACGCACATTGTTATAAACTGGTCCCCAATTTTATACAAAACTCAGTATACCGAATAGTACTATTGAATACAGAATTCCAAGAGCTGAAAAATGAAATTACAGGATAGAAACAACACTACGGCACTCACACGTTCAAAATCATATATCAATCAGATCCAGTTCGGACCATGAACGGATTAGCAACGTTGCATGCAGAATAACAAGACTAACTTCCGTAAATAGGCATAGTATCATCCATATTCATTATTAATGTCTATAAATATACCCCAAAATGATTCTCCGGGATCATAGTAAATTGCCAAGAGCATTGTACGTATTGCACTGTACGTTATCTTAAGCTTCTTTTACAGTAACGTTATGATAATGGCATCAGTGGATACTGTGGGTATCCATATATCAATTGTTAATCGAATGAATCCGTAAAATACTAGATTTAAAAAGCTCTAGTGGTACAGTAGTAGTACCTCAAGGTCATGACGAATGTATTGAACTGTTCCATTTTGAACGGATATTTGTGTAATTACCTATATATCTATATACTGTACTTTTTTAAATCAACGAGTGTTCGCTGAGAGTCAATAATGGACAGAAAGAACTTACCACACAACGCCGTAACTACCAAATCCAATCTGACGAATGAGTTGAACGTCAGCAGCAGCCGGTTCAGCAACCAACGGTAACTGAATTAAAGGTGGCCCCCAATAGGAATATTCTTTACTACCTAGATAGTGATTAGAATAAACGGTTGCAGCCATGATCTGAATATGGTGAAGGTGCGCTACTCAGTCGCTATTTCGTTGATAGAAACCACAGAATGAATATCGAAGAATTAGCGTTGCAACGGAAGTACACGCGGATATCTTTACGCACGTATAACCAAGAGTCTACACTCTACCAAGCGTCACTCTCTTCACTTCGATATCCAAATATGAAGGAATTCGCGAGTAATATAGAAAAAAACTGTACAAAAAAGCCTTGAAGGACAGTAAGGAAGTAAAATTGTCGTCGTTGATAGATGAAAAGGTAAGAAACAGTCCCAAAGAATCGATTTGACTAGTGAGGAAACGGCAATCTTGTAACCACAAAATCACAATGGCCCGGCTTTGAAATTATCAAAGTTAAAGATAAGCCGTAACCACCACAGCGTCGATCGATGGTTATCCTGTCTTCCTTACTTAGTGTGCTCGCGGATAGTCATGATTGCGTTTTCTGTAGTAAGTGCTAACGTCGATACTACAAATTAATAGGAATAACTGCAAAGGGCCACAGCTATTATCCAAACAACTACTTTTACAGATCTGTGTCAGCGGAAAATCAATGCTAGACCCTTTCCAGTTTTCGGCAGTTGCCTCCTCCTCCTATATGACGGTGAACGTTAATCAGCTCCGCCAATAGTGCACAATTCCTACGATAAGACGCGAAATTAATACTAAACCTTGAAAAACTATTTACGGTACACTACTGTAGACATCGCACAGTACTGTACAGTACAGTACTTTTCTGCCCTGGCAACGTTATTGTGTACTGTACAGAACAGTGTACTGTACACTGTAGAGTGTACAGTACTGTACACGTGCTATCGTACTGTACTGTACTGTACATGTACAGTACAGTACATACACTGTACACTGTACAGTACCTGTGTCAGTACTGTACTGTACAGCAAGCTGAAAGCAGGCTAAGTGCAGTGGAGGCACTGAACTCTGAACTCTCGACCCTCCAAGCAAGAAAAGCTTGATGTACAGTATTTAAACAGGTCTACAGTATTAAATAAATTTCCGAGTGGAGAGTTGCTGAAAAAAAGTTGGAATCATTTTTTTCCGAGTAGTAAGCGTAGGTTTTCTTTATCTCTACGACCACATTATTATGTAAGTTGATCCCAGCAGAGTGTACGCAGGGATTCCAACTAATCGTTTCTCCTTCCTATATTCAATACGTTATTCCCCGATGTGTACCTTATAACGCTAGAGGCATTAAAACAAAGAAAACCTAGAGACGTCTCATATGACGTAGAGATTTACAGTATACAAGACTTGCTGCTATACAAAGTTATATACAGAACTGTACTGTACTGTACGTTAGTACAAGTACTTGCGAAGTTACTAAAGAAAGAAGAGATGGTACAGTACTGTACACAGTATGATACGGCTCTGTGGTGGTCTAGTGGAAACTGTTGGCAAAGAAATAAATGACGTAACGTGACTCAACGAATTAGCTTTTACAATGGTTTAAACTGTTTAAACTAAACTACAGTATATAAAATAAATAATAAAAAAAATAAATACTGTAGGTCATTTTGTTTTTACAATTTTACAGCACCTCAGCCATTAGTCCATCGACGAGGTCGGTTGTCTGTACGTCTGTGACTCACGATAGACATTGTCTAGTTGTCTACAGTAACTAATGCAATATACTGGTAATTATGACTTAATAGTAAGTAAAATTATACAGTATATACGTGTATATCAGAGTTGATTGCATATAATCCACATATCGCATTAGGGTATTTTGTTTTATTTATTTATCAACCCTCACACTGTAAAATTTTAGCAACAAATCAGTTTTAATTATTATTTCATTATTAAAATAAAGTAATTATATAATTAGTCTTAGGGCATAACCAATCTAAGATTTATATAATAAAAATGTAGTTTACACTTTTGTCTGTTAATTATATAATTGACTATTATAACGTCTACACTTTCTATTTTTTTTACAAAGAATTCTACAAGAATACCTCAAAGTCGTATAAGTCTATGGTACAGACTGTACTGTACTATGATATACACGTATCAGCTCACAAATTCATGTTATTCTCCGTAAAAGTAACGTAAAACGTATTGCATCATGCAAGCTATAAATTCTGTCTGTGACAGCTTCATATAATTTAACTTTTGAAAGAGAGAGATAAAAATATAGCAGCACTATATTTTGAGACGATGTTAACGAATTTTATTGGCTTATATGATCAAATTAATAGTAAGCTCCATCTTTCATGAGAGGTAACATGTATTTCGCATGCTATATCTAAATGAGTATTCCGTGCAATTTTTGGATGCTACACAAATGCTCGTGCAGATACTAGCTGGCACAGGTAGCTATGATAGCTGAATTTTATACACTAATTCCGTACTGTACACGTGTACAGTACAGTATAGTGATTAATTCTTTGAACGTTACGTCCATGAATTGTCACATTTCACGCAATTTTAGATGTCTTACAGATGCTAGTAGAGGTACTAGTTGGTACAGGTAGGTACTGACTGTAGTTATGAAAGCTGAATTTTATGCAATATTATACTGTAATTCCGTATCGTACAGTTTACATTATCTCGCGTATCCTCCATAGGATATTGTAATAAGCAGTTACTATACATGAGATCGCGTTTAGATCAATCTGTTATGCTCATGAATCATTGCATTTAAATAAGCGTATATTTTAAGGTATTCAGTATTTATAAACGACTATATATATATACATTAAAAAAATAGATTCCAATCATCTAAATAACGGGCTAAAATATATTAGCTATAAGCTGACAATTGCAGATTTTCAAACAATTGATTACAGTTTATACTAATTTTGAATGATGCTAAATGATCAGCTCGTGTTTCACCGATACTAACTATACCTATTGGCTTTCGCATGTCGCTGGCCCTTGATATAATTCTATATGCAGAATAGGTTTGCAGCGACGATCCAACAACGAGAATCGAATCAGCCTCATCGACATGTTGTCTCACTTCTTCATTAATATCTTTAGAGATAGAGCCGCCAAAAAATACTACATTAGGTTTCAATACTCCGCCGCATTCACATTTGGCCAAGTTAAACTTCATAACTTCATTTTCCGCAATGAACACGTCAGCGTCTGGAGCGGTTTGAATAGATTTGACTGTCCAATTCGGGTTTAGCTTCGATAATATGTCTTGAAATTCTCGTCTAAGAATAATTTTTTGGCACTGTAAGCAAATGACTTCGTGCATAGTCCCATGTAACTCAGTCAGTCGGCTGCTGCCGGCACGTTGATGTAATCCATCCACATTCTGGGTTACAACCCAATGCAATAACTTCAATTGTTCGAGCTTAGCAATAAAATTATGGGTTAAATTGGGCTTAACAGAGGAAAATCGAGACCATCCAGTAAAGTTACGAGACCAGTAACGTTTCCGATTCTCGTCGTTTTCCAGAAAGTCCGAATATTGCATTGGTCTTTGGTTGCTACGTGCATATAATCCAACACCTTTCGATCGATAATCCGGTATGCCAGACGCTGTTGATACGCCAGCTCCAGTCAAAATCAATAACTTCTTCGATTTTAACATGAAATCACTAACAAGTTGAACATCCTCTTGGGTTATTTGACGAGCATGTGGTATAAAGGAGGTCAGATTTCGTGAATTGGAAATCATGTTAGAAAGACATACGAATAATGATAAATGTTATTTCGTCAGGTATCTACACTAATTACACTACAATAATCTTTAATCTTTATCAATTTTGACCCACAAGTGCACTTGATCTACAGTACTGAATGTCCAGTGATTTATATGCACAGTATATCATGCGCACTGCGCATGTGCAGTGCGAGTCTTGTAAGTACGGTAAAATGTAATGCGAATACTCTACAGTACTGTACTGTTCTGAACTGTTTTTAGTAGTCATACTGGTAAAGTAATCTATAGTATTACTAGAGACTACTAAAGATACTGTACTGTACGCTGCTGCGCCTACTGCACTTTAGTTTACCACTGTATTCTGGATTCTCTTGTTAACTTTTCAATCAAATGCGAATACTTTATATGCTGCACTTAATCATACCGATAATATAATTAATATATAAATACAGTATACAGTAAAATAATCCATATAACATCTTCTAAATCTGAGGCTCTCGTAATTGGAAGAAAGAAAAAAAATTCAAGAATGGTAAGTTTTGGCTCGCTGTATTTCGATTTACAGTGATGCTTCTCACTGAAGAAGGTTACAGCAGAATTCACGTAATGGCGTTAATCATAATGATTAAAAATCCTATCTTGAGTACATTGTAATAAAAGGAAGTTATCTTAACTTCTATATAAATAACAGTATAATTCTATTTGAAAGCTGTTTTTTCTGTGATCAAAAATATGTAGTTTTTCACTAGCTTTAAGCTTACTGTAATTTAGCTAATAAATTGCAAGGTATGACTGAACAAAACTTGTATTCTGATAGCATAGTTTGCAAACATTGATCTCATTGTGACACTCTTCTCGAATTCAATGGTCTTGTGTTGTATTATGCTGCACAATTTCCGAGTTTATCTACAAATATAATTTATAATTAAATTGTGTATCATTACTTATGCCAGCTTGGCTAAAATACTGGCATTTTGTTAAATTGTATGTACAATTTCTTACATGTATTTTGCTTTTCCTTTCATTGTATTAACTATAACTGACTAACTATATTCCCTTTGCTAATAATTGCTAGTTCCCGTATGAATTCGTTCGTAGCTCATTGCCACGTTCTTACAATACCAGCTTACGGTGTTATTCAGTTTCGATGATGCCTGATAGCCGTGAAGAGTTGGACAATGGAGGAAAGAGTAAGCTTAGTGTTATTTCATTGAAAATAAGACTATACACGTACATTAGTATATTGAATTACTAACGACTTCAAATTGATTTCTTTTGTTAATTCGGTCTATTTCGTTTACCCAGTAATTCTACCACCTTCAGCCCTTGATATTCTCAGTAAGTAAATTCATTCTTTAATGATGTTTCATACAATAGTGTATTATATTTTAACCTACTGTATTCCAAAACCTAAAGTTAGCAACGCGTGCAATCTGTACATTGTAGAGTGTATAATCTTTGATTTAGAAGGTTTTACCACGAGAAAAATAACTTGTTTTGTGTTAAATACAGCCAGGCTAAATATTGTATATCCGATGCTATTCAAGATTACTAACAAGCAAAGTGATCGAAGTACTCACTGCGGTGTTTTGGAATTTGTTGCTGATGAGGGGAAGATGTATATACCCTATTGGGTAAAGTTTTCCTATATTGTACACTCGTACAGTAATTGGGGGATATGGACTATTCTATGCATTTATGATAACTCTTTAACTTGCGTTCAAAGTTTAACATTGCGATATTATTTCTAGTAATGTTAAATTGCATGACTTTAAGCTTTGCTCTTCTATTGCAGATGATGAGAAATCTTTTAGTATCGGAGGGAGATTTAGTTCGTATTGAAAGCGCATCGTTACCAGTGGCCACTTATTCGAAATTTCAGCCGTTTTCTGTCGATTTTCTGGATATAACTAATCATAAAGCCGTGTATCTTTGTTGCTCTCCTATTATAATTTTATTACGAAATAATACTGTATTGCTGATATCATCATTTAAAATACTTTCATATGGCACGTAAGTTAAAATAATCCTTAGCGATAGCATTTTATTATCACCATAGTTTAGAGAATGCTCTGAGATCATTTGCGTGTCTTACGAAAGGAGATGTTGTCGCTATTAAGTACAATGATAAGGTAAAGATCCGCATTGCACTTATCGTTCGCTAAATGTTAGACCGCAGTAAGATTTACATTGTTATCATTGGTTATAGGTATACGAGCTATTAGTGATGGAAACGAAGCCTGGCCAGGCTGTGTCAATCATTGAGTGTGACATGAGTGTTGAATTTGCCCCGCCAATTGACTATAAAGAGCCACAGAGAAATATTAAGGAAGAAGAAAAGGAGGAAGAAGATGAAAGTGAAATCTTTGAGGAAGATGAGGATGAATTCAAGATATTTGGAGGTGAAGGACACAGGATAGATGGTAAAAAGAAAAAAAGTGCAGCTACAAGTGCTGTTTCAGTTCCGAAAGAATTGAAAAAGTAAATATAGTAGGAGAAATGATACTGTTTATTTCCGATATTGTTAATTATATAATGTGATGAAGGTGTTACATTTTTTGAGCAGAGGCATACCTAATTATGATTATAAGATTGGGAATTTAAAATTTATCAGGCCTAAAAAGTGTGCCAACAGGGCTGACGATACGGTAAGCTTTATTTAGGTAACATTATCGGTGGAAATATGCTTAATAGAATCTTGGTGCAATATCAAATATAATTTTAGGACGTTGCAATTGACAAAGAATTCGAAGCTTTTTCTGGCCAGGGTCAGATACTGAAAAAGTCAGCCAAATTACCGTTTGTGAGATAGTCAGGTCTCTGTTTGATGATAAAGTATGAAAGAACACGATATTGACGGATACGATAATTCAAACTTGTGTATAAAATTAACCTTTTCAGACTTGCAATTTTGATATTTGTGATGTATTAATACTCATATTTCTATGCAATCATGAAATCATGGCTTATTTGTTCGATATACGCTATACAGGGTCTTTATGAACTAGTTCTTCTTGGCTAAGAATGAGCGCCTGATTAGGCGGTATGCTCGATGTGTAAAGTCTTCAATCATATCTATTATCTGTTATCTGTTATTTATATTAGAGGCAGTAAAACTCTTTCGATACAGCCAGGAACTTCATAGAAGTCCTTGGTACAACATACGGATACAGCAGTAAAATGGCAAAACTGAGATACCTAGTTGTGTAGATCATTGATTTGTATTAATAATTCACTATTTATATATACGTATGTATAATATAAGAATAGATACACGCATACGTGTATATTTGAAAGTAAAATTGTATCAAATAGACTGCTAGAGATGTACCAGTCGAATTTAGTTCAATATAAAGAGATCGGAACAGCATCACTGCTTTCCGAGATAACTGCACGAGAAAGGTTTTTAATCTTAGAATGTCCATTATGTACTGTATGTATGGACTGTACAGCTACGTACACGTTTACAGATTCATGAATATAATATTGCCAGCACGTAACTACCGATTTTGCATACTGTACTGTATACGATGTGCTGTACGTACCTCCATATACGCGTATACAGTATAGTAAGATGCAAGTGTAGGACTAAAATAGTATTCATCTATGACTGTACAAATAAAATAAAATATATTGCCAGCACAAAACTATATATGATGTACGTACCTCCATATACGCGTATACAGTACAGTACATTAAGATGCAAGTGTAGGACTAAATAGTGTTCATCTATGACTGTACAAATAAAATAAATATTACCAGCACAAAAACTGTATATGATGTACGTACCTCCATATACGCGTATACAGTACAGTAAGTTGCAAGCTGTAGGACTAAAATAGTGTTCATTTATGACTGTACAAATCAAAAATTGCCAGCACAAAACTACAGTACAGTAGTAACAGTACGTGTATAAAGTACTGTACACTGTACAGTACTGTACTGTAGGACTTCAATACGGTACTGTAGTGTTCATTTATGACTACTGTACTGTATACAGTGTATATACAGTATATACTGTACTGTACAGTACAGTAGAAATAAAATACAGTACAGTACGCTATTGCCAGCACAAAACTACAGTATACAGTATACTGTACTGTATCATGTATTGCACGTACTGTACCTCCATATACTGTACGCGTGCGCATAAAGTACAGTAAGTTTCAAGTGTAGGACTAAAATAGTGTTCATTTATGACTGTACTAATAGACAGGACACAATCGTTGGCTAACGATGAGTAGGCCGATTTTTCTACTGGTCATTTCAGCTATACAGTACTGGAACTGATAATCGTCAATCGTACCCGACCGTGCTCCAAATGAGCTGCCAGGTTGTTTTTGCAGAGTACAGTACTGTACAGTTTGTACACGCTAGAAGGTACAGTATACAGTACTGTACACTGTACACTGTACAGAACAGTACAGTACGGTACTGTTAATGTACTTTACCCTCAGTTTATTACCGTCCCATCCCAAAATGATCCTTGACTCTTGCCGCGACACCGTTTCACCCTACAGTACAATACTAAGTCAATAAAGAATGTCTGCTCTGAGAAAAGAAGCGAATTCACCCAAGTTTTAGCCTAGTTTCAGCGTCCTACGTCATCCTCGTACTTGGTTGTTATGTTGTCACAGGCTGGTGAATTGCTGTGGTATAATTGGCCTTGAGTAATTCCTGTTCCAACTTACAAACAGCAACTTGAATTTTGGCTTCTACTTGGCGAGTATACGAATATCAAGTTTATGGGTAGGAGGCACTCCATCACGTCCATGGAATTAAAACTGTACAGTCAATAACGTTGAAATGTTGATTGACGAGAATTGGTTTTTTCAAAGGGTTATAGCATAAAACGTGAGTAAAATCGTAGCGTCATCTCTTTGCCGTCATCAAGGCTGTAACGATTCTGCTTAGTCTGGCAGCAGACAGAATCAACTTTCACCGCTGGAATTGCTTTCAAGTAATGCTAATTAAGGAATTTAATTTCAACTTTTATAGTACTATCTTGTCCGTAGTCATTGATAAAGGTTAATAATATGGTGAATTGGATTCCACCTATCCGTTTCTTTAAGGAAAGCTTCCAACTTACCTGATAGTAATTATGACAGGAATTGAAGGCGACATTATTGCCATACTGTAGACACAGAGGCTATGCATAAACTCAAATTAAAACATAAAAATACCATCGGTACTGAATGCCTAATTGAGGCAATAAACCATTTTGTTGGGATTGTTGCTTTCGAACTCATAACATACTGTACGCGTAAACACATTCTAATGGTAACCAAACTAATGGTTTCTGTAATCGTTCCAGTCCATTACAGACATAATAAATTAGAAAAGATTTAAGATGAAGCAGGGTCAAATTTTGGACCACAGTGATCCCCTATTTTCCGCTAAAAATGGCTAATAGTGATTACGTTAATTTATCGCGCCGTATACGCATATTAATATTAGCCTTAGGCTTATTTGGCGAGGCGATGAAAAGAACTCATCTTTGATACCAAAATAGTTATTGAAATATACGTATAATTCGAGCAAATTAAATATTTTATTATTTTATTTGTTATAACCATACAAGAGCATTCAGCGAGCACTTTTATTCTTATCCATAGAAAGGGAATATGTATTGATATTTAGACCAACTTCAGCCATTATCGTAAAAATCACTTACTAAACTGGAGCATACAGCGCTTTCTTGACTTAATTATGGCTTCAAATACGCCTCTACGCGTAGCTAATAATTTTTATCGAATTTACTACACCTGCAACACAGTGTTCAAGTTGATAACACCCAGTACTTTATGAGTTGCTATTGAGAATCTTCAGTGTACAGATCAATTTCATGTACTGTATTGTACTTAACCAGCTTATTTATACGGGAAAAATTACTGTTACAGTACTTCACACGTCGTACGATTTCGTTCGAGTTTCATCAGGCACTATTTATTAGACGACTAGAATGACATTTTCAACAAATATCGTTTGGTTAACTTCTCGTGATAATACAAACGTTCTCTTTACTAATTCCATAGAACTAGATTAACGTGATATTAATGTGCGTAAAGATGTTGATTGCTTGATTATTTCTTTAGTCTCAATTTTCTATATCTTAATACAGTACTGTAGAATCACAAGATGTCAATTACCATTGATTTAATGATGCGACCTGGCTAACTAGGAGTTGGATTAATAACTACATATACAGTGTAGTCAGCTTTAACTCTAATTAATTGAGCAACTTAATCATGTTAGGTGGATATTTCGATTTTTTTACAATACCTCATACTAAATAGATTTCATCTAATGTTAACATTTTTAGGTAAGGAAAAATGATAATTAACGCATTGGGCATATCCGCAATCGAATAATATTCATCGTTCAGTCGTTATGTAGTATTACTGCCATTATTGATGGAGTTAAGAAATTCATAGAACCATTGGAAAATTAACTATGATACAATATATTAAACTTCCAGTGAAATTGATTAATTTATAGAGCTTAATCGCCTATTACTGATACAAACTAATATGACAGAAAGTAACCATTTTAATGGCGATAGCCAACAATCACTAATTGAACGAGAGCTAGCGCGTACAAGGGAATTACTGAATGGCAGTGGATTACCATCAATTCCTGTTGATCAAGATGTTATTGAACGTGAGTTGGCACGCGGTAGAGCATTACTCAGTTCGCGATCAAGTACCAGTGATTCCGATATGGCCGAAAGAGTATCTGGAGATCGGCCTGAGTCTGATGAAGATAAAACTAATCACTATGAAGAAACATCAGCTGAGTTAATCGTAATCCAATTAGAGGGCCAGTTAGAATCAATTAGCTATGAACATTCGTCATTGCTTGATCATCATAGCCAACTACAAAATAAATACGTTATAGCTCGGGAGAAATTGAAAAATAAAGAAGAAATTGTCGAGAATGCTATTAAAAGTAAGGATGAATTATCAGCTGAGATCGATGAATTAAAATTAAGTCATAGTACATTAGATAAAACTCTGCAAGAGGCGAGAAGTAATGTCAATGCAAAAGAAAAGGCAGTTCAAGCTCTAAGTGAACGTCTAAATGTATATCAATTTAACAATAATCAACTTGAGCAACGCCTAGCAACACTTAAGGTTGAAATTCAACATCGTGATGCGACTGTGACGAATCTTCAACAAGAAATGGAACTATTACAACATAAATGGGATGAATGCATTACTGAAAAAGTGAAAACAGCCCAAGAATTAAAAGCAGCCCACTCTGTAATCGAATCCCTACAAGGCACTCAAGATTGGCTCCAAAAGCAACTAAAGTTTACACAGGATGCACGCAATGCCTTAGATAGTGAATTAGCTTCAGTAAATAAAAAAGTTGCTGAACAAAGTAAGGAAGTAAACCATTTGCGTACAGAAAATGATCAATTACTACACGATTTAGATAATCACTGGCAATCGTCGTTAAAAGAAAAGAAACAACTAGTTGAGTATTTATCATTAATTGAGACTGATATGTTAGCGCGTGAAGCAGCAATGAAAGAGGCTACAGCCAGCCATGATGATTTACATCAGCAACTTAATACCAAATTAAAGGAGTTACAAATTGAGAATGATCGCTTGCAAGCTGATTTAGAAGAAGCAACTTCCCTTGAAAATCAACTGAATAGTAGTAAGAATGAGGTTAATGAATTACTGTCAGCTATCGAAAGGCTGAATGAAGATAAACGACGCCTGGAAGTTTGCTTGCAAGAGGCTGAACAATGTGTTAAAGATCACGAAAACAATTTGCAATTATTACAAGCAAAATGTAATGAAT